CAACCGAAAGAGGTGGTTCAGGACATCAACGGATGACACTGTAATGCCGCTGACCGGGAGGTCCTAGATTTGAGTCTCGACGATAGCAGGATTTTCGACACTATCTTGACAGCTAAGTTGAATTCAGTCGCTCTCTGGAATAGAATTGTAACTGCTGGCTGCTCTGATCGGTTGTTTTCCGTGGTTTCTCTGATCAACATCCGACGAATACCGGAGCAGTACCGTAGCAAACGGGCTACGGACCGCGCGCGATCTTTCCTTTTTCTTCCTTGTCATATCCTCACCCCTTACACACAAACTAACATGTACAACACTGCCACACATGCCGGGAGACAGGTCGGGAGCTTAGAGCTTGTCCCGGTTGGGTCTGTGCCTCACAGGGGGGACCTACTTGGTTAGAGAATATCCCACTAGCCAACGTAGATCGGCGTCGGATCTCGTCATCGAGCGTGTGAAGACAAGGGAAAATATGAACTACAATTACGGGAGTATTGACCTTAGCAATTGGTGCGCTCGGAATAACTAACAATCAATCTGTAGCTACGCTAATTTTTATGATGCATCGAGTTTCTGTATCGAATTAGCGTATTTGTCTTCTCGTTTCTTCGAGTTTTGGATGATTCCTATTTGCTATGAGAGTATTGTGTAACGCTTTGTACTTAATTTGCAACTAAAGTGTGGGAGAATAAACGTGTAGTGAAAAATTTAGAATGATTGTAGTGATATCTAATAATACATTGATTGATTTTTCCGGGCTGTTAACTGCTATGATCATTAGTCCCTTATGAAGTTGTAGAAACATTTTGCTGTACGTGAAAACTTCAGAGAAATATAAATTATATAATATAACTCTTCTCGATGTGTTAAACTTGCTCATCATTGAAGAAGTTTTAGGAGCATATCCTTTGATTAAATGATAGCTATGACACCAATTCTTTTATCAATTTGTTGATTCATGATGGGAAGATTGAATAGATGGAAATAAAGGAGTTCAGCGAGTACTTTCGTACACACTTAATTCGTCAATTATTAGAACATAGCTTGTGTTTGTAATACAATTATTTCTATTATTAAATCAATACTACACGAAAGTCAAAGTAATGAGTGTTTTTGAAATATGACCATTGAATTCGCGATTTGTTTCTTGGTGAAATAGAAACAGTTGAAATGGCATATATGTTTACGGTATATCAAACGTTTCACGCACAATTGTGTAGATATATCCGATCCCATCCGGTGTGCTACGTGAATTGCCGACTTCCGATCGCACTATGACGACACTTTTTTATCATTGTCTATCAATAGCTCTCTTATCAGGAGTGAGAGGGAGCAACAGCTGAGAGCCAGCTCTTGGGTGGAATTCTCGAAGTGATAGACATTTCGATTATGGTATCTACGGTACGAGGCTGTGGAGTTCGCAGGGACGTTGTTTTCGCTTCTTATGCATATGGTAGTGCGGAGAGAGGAAAAGTTCACAAGTTATTTAAATGGGGCTGGCGACTTTTTATTCATCATTAAAATATTCCATTTTAAGAAAAACAAACACTTTTAAGTCGAGTACTGAAAAAAAGACAATATTACTTTATAGACCGTAGGGAAAATGTGCAAATCATAAATACGTTTATACGCATGATTGTAACTTACTAAATATGATATAAGCATTTCAAATTACTACTTGTAATGAAGTAGTAATGTAGATAAACAACATTATTTATTCTAAAATTGTAAGATTTGAAAAAAAGAGTATTTCATTTTAAGAAAACGTGTTTGTTGATTAACTTTGTTGAGTTAATTCTACAAAACAGACATTCCGTATTTCGGTTGGTTGATATCTGTCATAAAAATGACGCAAACGCAACGAATTCTTTAGCTTTCCTTTGGTACTGAATTAACAATATTTTTAGTGTATTAAATATTATGCTGAAGCTGTATAAGCCCTGGTAGTGAAATGCATTCGGTATCAAAAGCCGAAAAGGTTTTTTGCTCTGCCACTCGTATACAATTTTCGTTATTTAACCAGTACACATTATAAATCCGTGAATTTTTATCCGCATTATCTGAAACAAGCATAATGCGGTTTACTTCCCACTGTTCGATAATCCACTGTCCCCTTTTGATTTGAACCTTGGATGTGGGAAGCCAGTGCGCTACGCCACCCATGTCGTAGAAGTGAAGTTGGAATGGAAAACTCACCCATCTCACAAAAACATCACTAGGGCTTGCATATTCATTAGTCAGATTAAAAACAGCGTGCAAGAATACTGAACTTCTTTTGTACGTGACGTCAAAAGACAAGATAGCGGATCGCCATTTATTCCCAGGCCACCATCGACGATGACGGAACACAGACAAAGTGATGGGCAAGACAAGTATCTGCATAAAGAGTATAATGTGAATAAAGAATATAATGCTCAAATAATTCTCTTAACACTGAGTCGCTTATTCGTTTAATGTTTGTTGTAAAATTTGTAGCATTTGTTATAAACAGTTGTCTTAAACAATCCTGTCGCTTCGGTTTGATCAAGGCAGTGATATCGGAGTTATCAGTGATTGCAGACTCTCAGTCCAGCACGACTACTGCCGGTACATCTTTTGCTCAGAATGTTTGCATAAGGAAAAGAATGGATATGGCGAAAAGTGAAAGAAATATGTCAATGTGTGTATGTTATGAACTATTTTCATTAATTTTTGTAATCTCATTGCATTTGATAAAAAAATTCAAGAATATGTTATTAACTTTTCAATAACATATTTTTACACGCCAGATCGTTTTTCAAATAGGTTCCTTTTGTATTCAGGTTTATTTGACTGACCTATGTTGCCTTTATTCGCTGGTGGTCACGTGCTGATTCACAATCCGCCCCTACTACTCATGATTCAAACTATGGTGAGACTACTGTTGGATTAAAAGAATGAACACAGCGCACCGAAGGAAAGGTGCTCGAGAGATAGACATGAATCACAGACACAAGCTTTAAAGTTCTGAAGCACGATGAATATGACTTCAGTTCTTAAATAAAGCGACCACGATTATTTTTGTTCTGCGAGATTTGAAATTCGTAATGTCATATTTTCCAGAACGCGTGTCAATTGTGTGACTCGCAGTGGACTTTGGAAATTCTGGATAACTTCACCGGAGACTAAAAAGGTAGCAACTGGGAGATAGCGCGAGTTCTTGTTTGATGCAGCGGCTGATTTCGACCTTCCTATGAGGCTATAGTCGAAAATCCGCTACCGTCGGAACTCAAACCCTAGAGGCGCTGCAGTGACATGAATACTATTGAAAGGTCTTAAATGTTTTAGTTCAGTCTCTCTTTGAACATTCATCAATGCCCTGAACCACCTTAGCCGGTGTGGACTGTGCGTGTGGTTAAGCTTTCCTTTTACGAGTTGCGGTTGGAGTACATCCGGGGATGGGGGTTGCTTCACGTGTTCCTCTGGCGCCGGTTCACCGTTCGGTGATACGAGCGTCCAAGACCGGAGCAGGTGCGGTGTAGACGTTCAAGGGCACTAAGAAATGGTCCACCAGCGACTGGCGTGAGGACGGTCGGGAGCGTCGAGGACGCCGAATGGTACGCGCCGACACCGTCCCCGTCTCGACGCCCCTTCGCGCGTGAGAATTTGCGTAGACCGCGGAGCTCGGCGCGGCGCTGTTTGCGCGGAGCCGGCGCGCGCGGCGCGGTAATTGCCGCCGCTCGGCAGCTCCGTGTCGTGCGTGGTTGCTTCGCTGCGTCGCTCGGCGTCGCGGCGGTGCCGCCGGGAGGCGCCGTGTGAGGCGAGTTGGAACGGATTACGCTCGGCGCGAGCTGAGAAACGCCGCCGAGCGAACCGGGCTGGCGACGCGTGGCGTCGCGACGCCGACGGCGACCTCGAGGCCGTGGAGGCGGCGGAGAGACGCTTGGGCCCACTGCCTCCGCGCCGCGATGTACGACCCGTTGCGCGGGAAAAGACCCGATGTCAGCGAAGGAAGTTTTACAGGAGAGCTAAATTGTGTGAGGTGTAAACATCGGTATTTCTAGCCTTTGGTTTCTTGCACTATTTATGAGCTTTCTATATAAATTTAAGTTAGAAATCAACTCTATTCTTTGACACATCATTGTGTGGAAACGATTTGTTCAATGCACGTTTCTCGGTGAATTTTTTGAGTTTGTCTCAAAACAGTTTTTAATGTTCAATAATTAATGATTCAGTAATTAATGGCTTGTGAAATATTTCTTCTAGAACCTTTAACGAAGTGTATAATGTCCATTTTAGGCCCGGAAAATTACAAAATTGATAAATCTAATTATTTTTCCCTTTTCGAGCGGCAAGTCACATATTTGCCTTCCTACTTTGCCAGATATCTACTATTTGTTTCTGGCCTAGCGAGATCTGTCCTTGTGCTGCCATTTAACTATCCTGGCTATTGATTTCGCCGCCTTGTTTCAATAATCACTATCGCCCCAATCATTGCAGTGTCATCATAGTTGCTGTAGCCTCAGGATTTCTTACTCTCACGTAATTTGAAGACTCTGTTCCCAAGACTCCGATCACTACTCTACTCAGTATTCAACAATACACAACCACTATTTTCATTAGCAATACTGTCAATATTTCGTCTTTTCGTTGTCGATCCAAACGTTCCAACCTCTTCCATCGTATCAACAATTACCACCATTGTCGATCTGCTTCTGCAGTTCTTTCCCAGATATTGAAATCTTTATTCGAAAATGTCAGTTTTGTTAATTCATAATGACTATGTTATTTGTTTTATTTATTTGCATCAAGACCAGTAAATAATTATGTTACGTTTAATGGGGGTGAGGAGAAAATCCACAATTATTTCCCTGTAGCAAAACAAGGGTTATGCCTGTTATCGACACCTTCGTAAACGCTGTCGCACGTGAGTCTCGAGGCGCGCCGCCTTCGTCGCCTGCGTCGCGGCAGCGGCGGAGCATCGCACACGCTCGAGCGGACGCGCGGGTTGTTTGTTCCCCATTACGGCCAGACGGTTCACCACGATGCGGCGCCGTGCGGAGTCGCGCCTCGCGAAGCCTCGTAACGAGACGTCGCTACTTTGGTCGCCGCCGCCGCCGCCGCCGCCGTCGCCACTCCGCTGCCTCTACCCCCTCGCCGCTTCGGCTTGGCGTCCCGCGTCAGGTTCAGTCCCCGCTCTGCTTCCATCCTCGCTTCCACTTCCGCCCCTCCCGACCCCCCCCCCTCTGCGATGGCTTCTTCGGCCACCATTCTCACTGCCGCCACCGCTTGTGCCTCCACCCTCTGTCTCACTCTACTTCGCCGCTCCTGTCTCCGCCACCTAAATCCCTCGCCGCCTCTATTGACATCTTTAACATCGCCCCGCTCCCTTGCTCCGCCAGCAAGTTCCCCGCTGGATGGTGAGCCTGGGCGTTGCTGTAAAGCAGGAACGTCAAGAGACATTTGAGCCAAGAGAAATAATTATGTGATTAAAAGTATAATCAAGCGCGTCACATGAAATACGTTAGTTACTAATTCAGCTTTTCAAGTTTTATTTATTTGGATAGTAATAAAACAATTGAAACAAAAAGAACTATACTGGAAGTAAAGTGCATTTTATTGTTGATAACCTCTACATTTTAAGCTACACATTTATTGCACGGCTAATCCTACTGTTATAGTATATCAATGATAGATGACATTTACTAGTAATTTACTTATGATTCATACGTATGATTCATTTTAAATCATACTGACCACTGCTCATTTTGTTGGAACGTTCTATCAGGAATTCACCAGGACTGAAGGATAATGAATGTAAACGAGCTACATTCAAATTCATGGGAAAAAACGCATAATTCATTTTTCGTGTATTGCCAGTGAAGGTACTGACAGGGCTCGTCCCGAAGTCGCGCGGTAACATCAAAATCATGCGTAGCTATGAGCGTAAACACCGTAAAAGGCCAGACGTTGCTGCTTTCTAACTCAGCCTTGCCGATTCGCACCGCGCCGCGTCCTATATGTTAATATCCCCAACGTCGAAAGCAATTCTTTGACGATGTTGCATATATGGCAATTAAACAGGACAATTACACTGACAAGTTATTTCAAATTGTTTAAAAAAATGTTGCTTAAGGGTTTTTTGAACAAGATCGACTGACTAAGTTGAGGTAATGAAAATGAGATTCGCGCACCCATTGAAACCATTATTTCACGATCGACAAATTTGCCCTAATAAGTTGATAATGAAATGCTGTGGTCCTCAAGAATGGGGAGCGCCGCGCCATTCGACGGTTGTTCGTCTCTAATCTCGTATGTTCTTTGTGTGTTGCAGGAGAAAATGGCTACCTCCCCCACTGCGCAAGCTGAGCCAGGGAGGCAAAGTGGAGAAGGGCCTGGCATCTGCGCCCGTCCCAGACAGGCCTCCGCTCAAGAAGCCGGGCTCCGATAAGCGCTTCAAGGTACGGCTGCAATTTTACGAAGCCTCGGCAACTTTGGTTTCTTCAGGGCTCTCATCCAAAAGCAATAATTTATTTATTTATTTATAATAATTATTACAAATTCTAGTAGAGTCTGACAATTACAAAAAGGTGATAAAAAGTAGCCTACAGTCGAAAGGATAGGGTGTAAGTAGTGAGTGTATCAGACTTCGATATGACTTATACAGCGATAGATTTAATCTCCTGAAAGTTTTGCTAGTAGATGCGTACCTTTAGATGACACCTACAAATTGCCGTCATGTTGACTGTGACTTCAGAGGCTTATTACAATTGTTTCTTATAATTGTAAATTGGTAATACAGTTCAAATAATAAGCCTTTTTTAAAATAATTATTAATACAATCAGAATCAAATTTGCGTATACAAAACATGAGATAGTTACTATAATGAGTAATCTCGTAGAGTGCATGATCAGATTTCACCACTAATTCGGTTCATTGCGTTTAAGAGTTGTTATTTACATGTCATAATACGAAGAAGACAGTTTCAAATGCGGTCATTTGTCTTCCCCATTTTTGCTTTCTCCCAAACTCTAACCTTATAGATTAAAAGGAATATCTGAAAAGTATGTTTGCCATCTTAAATTTCAATTAAAAGAGGAAGAGATATTCTATAGATTACATACATTTCTACGAAAATTTATAAGCAATTGTATTACAAGTTTTCTTAACGAAATGAAAGGAAATGAATGCTAAAGTGCGAAGATAGCTCTATTCTATGTTCCTGATAAATTGGTATATGACAGGAACAGAATGGTGCTGTTTGTGTTTATTTTAACGTGCTATTTAGTACTGCTTTAAAGAATAAACTATTGGTGCTATAACAGCACATACTTTGTCATATTATTCGTAGCGGTTACTTAATATTATAATATGCTGAAAGCGTTCGAAATTTCGTGTATTACTCAGGTTACCCATTTATTGCCGAAGTCGCTTAGACGGACATAGGCCCCGACGTGTGTTCAATGCTGCTATTTCTTTACATTGGCAGTTGGTGGCTGTGCCCCCCTGGGAGCGACCACAGGTCACTCTGCGTCCAACAGCACTGTTGCTCGATTGCGCTGGTGAAAACAAAAAAAACGGGTTGCTTCACTTGGGGGATACACTCATTGACCCATTCCATGCGTCCATGGGTGATCCCAATCCGAAAGAATATTTGCACAAGCTAGGATTTGAATTAAAGGGTGTGGATTTCTGCATCTAACACTTGAGTACACTGGCATGGTCATTCGACAGGTCAGTGGAACCCACATACAACCTCAATGCTGTTGATGGTTCTGACAAATAAGATAGAAAATTGTTACGATTTGACTCAGTTACATGAAAAGTACTTGTAGTTTGAAAACTCTGATATGAAATTGGTTAAAATGTTGATAGAAAAGATATACGCAGCTCCAAAAATGAAGGCGAAAGGCATAATCAAAAAAAAAAAAAAGAACTATTTCAATTTTCAAAAATTTAGAGTATATAATGAAAACGGGACAATATAAATAAGCGACTTTATTCTATTCTAGCAAACGTTTTCAGAAGACATGAAGCAATTTTTAAAAACATTTTGCTGCTGATGATCTAGGGACTTCATGGACAGTACTTCCCAAAAATTAAAAGATGCATTTCAAATTTGCAGGGCCTGAAATTTGGCCATATGGATAAGGAAATATCCATTTTGGCGAAAATCGTGCGCTCGGTTTAGGCGCTAGAGGCTGGACAGACAGACACGTTTTGGAGAAGGAAAACGGCATTTTGTGGGTATCAGAAACCCATCTGAACGTGTATTTCCGACAAAAATTCGACATCGCTTTTTTTGTAGTATTACATAATTTCTTCATCTTTACATTTTCTTTGCAGCGTATATGAAAAGTAAAAATTCTTACCACTGGAAAGTGACAAATTAAGAAATTAAAGAACCAGCCAAATAGCATAATTTGAATTCGTATTTAAAATTAAAAATATATTACATTCATCCTGCATTTTAAAAAATCCCATACCTCTTAATCTAGATTCCGGAACTGAGAAATTGACAAGAATCGCCTCTTTTAAGCAGTGTAATGGCGTTTTTATCTTTTAATCTTCATATCTTAGGAGCCTCATTACTCAGTACCCTCTTGAATTGATTCTGGTATTCGGGAATCGATAAATAGCTTGAGTATAGACTCTCTATTTTTGATCTGGACGAAACCTCTGCACCTTCGCCCACAGGAAGCGGTATCTGACGTAATGAGTCTTTCAAAACCTAGAATGCGGTCGTCCCCCCCCCTTCCCTGCGTGGCGAGCGGTCAGGATGGAGTAGGACGGGATGCGACTGGGTGGGTAGTAGGAGAAGGTGCCGGCGGCGGCGGTTGACTCTTAACGCTCCGCACCTGATAAGCACTATCGCAGTCGACAGGTGGGAGCTCCGCTCCGCCCCGCCTATTCCCGCTCTGCCTATCCCCATTCCGCCTAACCTCGCTCCGCCTAAACCCACTTTACTGATCCCCGCTTCGCCTAACCCCGCTCCGCCCCGCCCCATATACGTCGAGAATATGGCAGAGGGAAGGTCGATAAGACGCAATGATTTTTTCTATCGCATCCCATTAGACATTTGTAATTATTGATGAATGTTCAAAGAGAGACTGAACTAAAACATTTAAGACCTTCCAATAGTATTGTACTAGTGACATCTACTCGCCTGTCGCAGGCCTACCTTTGTCACGCGCAGTTTATTGGACGAAGTTCATGCGGATTAGGCAACTCTCCGAACCTCTCTGAAACAAACAAACCACTTGGGATATTTAAACACTTCCGGAACGATCTTTGCTCCCTGATAACTGATTTGCTACTAAAGTGAGACCCCCTACTACAAAATTTTCAAGAAACAGGGTCATTCAGCCAGTATTTGCTGGTCAATCGGAGAGAGAACAAACGTGAAGTGCGCTTCAAAATCATGTCGCAGTTCAAGCAACGTTTGGATATGTCAGCAAGTGAGGTAAGATTAGCATGTGTCGTAGAAACACATTTTTCCAAAGCTTAGTTTTAAAACTTCGTGCTAAATCAGAATCGGAATCTAAATCAGAAACTTTGTGCATCAGAATCGGAATCTCCATTGCACTTGAACTGCACAATACTTCAGTTGAACAGATTTTAAATAAGTATAAATCAGGAAATACAAACATGTCTTTTTTTTTAATTCAGCAGAAATGAAAATGCATCACAAGAAACATCAAGTCGGTTGGAACACTACACCAACCCTCTTGAAAAATCCTAGTCGCGCTACTGAGTTACTACAAGAACAAATCACAACGTATTCCGGCACAGCGCTCCCCCAAATTTGTCGCCCTTTACTCGGGCCCAGTGCTAAATCGAGACTGTGTTGCATCTGCACCGGTGTAGTGGCGTCAGCGTCGGTGGTTGAGATCGGACAACGCGATGCCACAACGCCCCGCAACGGCTTTCCCACGATCGCTGTCTTTTCCCGGAAGCCTCTGTGAAGCAGCTGCTTCTCGGTTTGTCCCTCCCGAATCCCCGTTTCGCTTGTCTCCGCTTACGCGGCTCTCAGTAGTGGCCAGCGCGCTAGCTCTTATCTTCGATATACCGACTCGAAACCACACCTCACTTACCCCATGCGTAATTTGTGGGAAGAAGGGGGAGGGGTTCACGTCCTGTTTTCACTGCATCTCATTCTGCTGTATGCCCCATCGTTTCAACACTTGTCTACTCACAAATTTCATTGTTGTCCAAGGTGGGCCTCTTATTCATCTACTGCGGACAAACTGTAATGAAGATTGCCGGCCGTTTATGTGGGCGTGCAATCTCAACTTAGTGGCCATCGCGCTAGCTTTCCGCATTTAGAGGCCGACATTTAATCCTAGGTCAGGCCTGCACAGCATTTTGCGCTTTGACTGACCTCGAGAGCCGCGGGCGAGCAGCATGAGTGCAAACCCGGGCCGCGCGGATAATTGGGGGATAGGACTCATTCTTGGAATGGAGACCGCCAATGAGAATGCGCAATTCGAACCGTAGCACGTAAATTGAAAGAGCAATTGTGAGAATTACGAACTATTGCATACAGTTCCAGTTTCATTACCTTTTATTTTGGAAATGATTGTTGTCGGTGTATAACAACGTGAACCTAAAACGAATTAGACGTACCTATTTCATTTGAACACCAGTATTATAATTGCTTGTACGGCTGATAATATAATTTACTTTCAGCGCTACGATGTAATCGCAAATTTAGCGTTCTGCTAAATACAAAATTGTAATATTGAATCTTTTTTGTTTGATGATGGCAGTAATCAATTCTACCAAAGCTAAAAAAAATATTCTTATAAAACCATGATTACGTTCTCCTCTAATTTTTGACGAACACTATTTATTCATAATCGTATAAAAATTAGTCCTTTGCGTTCTATTTAACAAGGCTCATAATAATGTCATGATTGCACGTAAAATATCGTAAGAGATGTTTGCTTGTTGGTATATCTTATTCAGTTTCATGAGGGAAAATGGTCACAAAGAAATGTGCTGCCAAACATTAGGCTTCTTGGAATTGCCTATATTTCATTTTTATGTCAATCTCGATATGAGAGACTGCTCTCAATATCCTCCGTTTCTCTCTCATTTAAAAACTGGCGTTTTTGGTGAAAAATCAATTATTACATTGTAAATTTTTGTTAGTTAAAATTACATAATGCATTTTTAAAAGAGTACACGGCTTTAAAATATTGCTTATGCGTTACAATGAGCATAAAGTAAAAAAAAAAAATGTCGATACATGGCATTGCACATGAACATAAACAGTGAAAGATGGCCCTTCCATCTAGAAATACGGTAGATTACCCATTTAAATAAGTGAGCAAATCATTTCACTGCATGGATCATTGCATTGGACACCCAGGCATTTGCATGCAAGCTGGCGTTGTGCATGCCTGTCCTAGCTTAATCCATGTAGACAAAAGGGATTCTCGGCAGATTTCCGATGGGATCTTGCGTTTCTCCCGCTTCTCACTCCATTCCGTTATTTTTTGTTTAGACAATCCGTTGCCAATGGACGTAAAGTTCACAGATACAGACAAGCGTAATAGATAAAGAAATACTGAGATGCGAAATGGGAGTATAGTCCTCTCCGGAGTCGTGCTGAAGTAAAATTCTATCGAGTGTACATCACCATTATTTTTCAAAGTGCCCGAAATGTAAAATTAGGTTGGAGTTGGGATAAACTTTATTTTCGACTAGACTATATTTCAAGCAGATTTTGATGAACGAAAGAATACTCCAAGAAGACTTGATGATCCTGTAATTCATTCAATCTCTAATCTTTGATGAAAAATTGTCGATAAGATCACTCTGATAACATACTTCGCATTTGTATTTCTCTGATATTAGAAAGTAGCTTATTTTCATATAAATAAAAACCATTATTACCATTCAAATTCAATATTCCCACTTCTTTTAAAATATATCTCCACTTCAGTAAAGCATGTTCTCTGCTCTGTACTACAGTAGAAAAATGTTAATTGGAGAATACGCTCGGGAATTAGAGACTTCAAAGAGAAAACTTTAATGCGACTGAATAGTAGTGCACGATGCAAGAATTCATGGGATAAAATTTATTCCCGCTAAAATCAGTAATTTGCTTGCTTTATTGAAAATTGTTACCTCAATAGTTATGTTTTTCAAGGAAGATTTCCTAAATTCTTACCGCGAGAAAAAAATGCATCGAATTCTAGATGTAGAGTTTTTTCTACTGTAAAAGAATACGACCATGTTCAAGATATTTTTGACACTGTCCATTTCCCGATGCTATAAATAAAATATAATATTTGATAGTAATGACTGTTTCTAGAGTGTTTTGATAACAAAAATTTTAAACACAAAAACTACAATGAAGCCGGGTAACGTGTCACCGAAAGTCACAAAATTTAGTTCTTAATCTTGGAGATAAGTTTTTGTTTGTTTGTTTTTAATGCATGCGAATAACGTGAAGTAATTTCCTGGTCTTCAGCTTGACGAACTGTAATACTCGTTGAAACATTGATTTTGATAGTACGATACTGCAATGATTTCACTTTAGCTTAGGTTACCAAAGTACGCCTTCAAAAGACATAGATAAAACGATTACAGAATCACTATTTAATTTCTAACCATGAAAGAGCAAGTAATAAATAAATAAGTTGTAATAAAAATAGTTGTAGCAAAGTAAATAAAATTCGTTGATGAGATAAAATGTGTGGCTAGTGTCACAGTTAGCTTCGACATCCGAATTGCTAAATTGTTTTCCCGGAAAATCTAATATCATTTTTTTCTGGCGATCTTACCATGTTACTTTTCCTTCTGTGAAGATTACGCCTTCAGCGCGGTGAACTGCAAGTGAGTTACATTATGCTGAAAGTTATGCAAAACAAGATGCAAAAAATACTGACAATTTCCGAATGCTAATATTTGTTGACCAAACCAGATTTGTTGACCGTACTGGAACTTGCGAAGAAATTAGAGTAAGACGCAAGTCACTTGGCAGAAAATTTTTAAAAAACTGCAGTTTCACTAGAAAGACTAAATTTTCTGCCTTACTTGTAATTATAGGCTCCCGACGGACAAAATGACTTCCAAGTAAATTTGTTAAATGTAATCGTACTTATCTTCATAGAATAATGTTACGCCATCAGAAATAAAACTCGACACCGACTGCATCGTTGCATATACAATCTTAAGCCATCTAGAAATTTTTTAATGTGCTGATTCTATGAATACATAACTTACATGCTCTGGCCTTCGCCCATTTACGACGGAAAATTTTTCTCAGAATTGTATTGTAATTGAAGACATATTTATTGTGCAAATTGCAAATTTCTTAAAAGTCATAAGACGAATGAAATCATTGTGCCATATTAATTACAATATAAAAATTATCTTGCAAAGAATTTATCAACAGTATTTATCATGCTTTCAAACATTGTTGTAGTTGTAAATAACTGTCAGAATGATGTACTTTTACCATACAATATCTTTTGGGACACTTTTACTCGTCACACAAAACGACTTCTTGACCACTGAGGCGTTTATTTAACGTGCATTGAAATACAGCCAAAGTGAATACATAATTTTTCATCTTCTGGTGTGGTAAATCTGGAGCTTTGGTTTTGTAAATACGCCACCTCACGACACTTGATACAATCTCATAGAATTTCGGATTGCAGTTACATTCCTTTTAGATATCATGTTGCTCAAGTCTTACTTTTCCACACGTATTATCGTGATGATAAGATCATCTCTGGAGGCCGTTCTCCAGTTACACATACAATGTTCCCAACGGAAACGACTTGGGTCCCTAGATAACGAAGTGCACGTTATTCTCGAAGCGGAATATTTAATGTTACACGTTATACCACACGGTATTGGTAATGTCATCCTTTCCACGTTATGAGTGAAACGTTATACGTTTCACGTCGTCCATGATTAACTACGGGACTGAACCCACAAGGCGGGACCCCCCATTCCGGAACCACGTCATTCTCTCACCGAGTTCAGGCGGCGTTCTCGACGCGGACTTCCCGGCCCTCTGGGGCCGCCGCGGCAAAGTGCTCCCGCACGCAGGTACTTACCCAAGTCGGGTTAGCCGCGGGAGCCTCGACGCGCACGATAGCTTTGCGGTAGGAAATTGATAAACCGCAAAGGATACTGCGCCGGCAACAGCGACGGTAGCGGCGACTACGAGTCGGTGGTTGCCGAGGCGCTGGACGGTGCGGGAAGCCACTTCGCACCCGCCTGAAGCGGTCGCTCCGTGCCACAACGTGCATTTCTCGTGTGTGATCTCACAGAGCTCGCTAAACTCCGTCGACCTAATCGCCGTGTGCATAAGTGTTCACCTGTTGCTACCGTCGTCCGCCGTGCTGTGGAAGTCTTCTTGTCGATGTAGTGTTTGCCTCGGCCGCAGTCATGGAGCACGTACTTGATAAATGGATCGTTTTGATGAATATGCCTGACGTCGTGAACGTCACCATCCGGAAGGTTTTGAAGGTACAGAAAAGTAGCTGAGGCATTAAACGAATCAAGTTTTCTTGAATTGTGCAATTTTTTTTTATTGAAGTCTGTTTTTATAACAAAAGTTTGTAATTCTTAAATATTTTGACAAATGTCATGTGACGGATGGCAAAACGTTGAGGTTTAGGTTTATTGCAATTAAGAATTAGTGCACTTTAACATATTCGTTGCAAAAATCAAGATGAGAAATGTGAGAGCTGTTGGTAGCGACGTTCTTGTTTCGAAGCTACTGAAAACTACTGAAATATGACTGAAAAACTATGAAAAACTACTGAAATTAACAATGTTCCAGTTTTTACATCCTTTACGAAATTTGTATGGTCTCTTAGTCAGTCGTCATTCTATTCTAGCTATTTCTAAAATGTATTTCTATAGGCTAACTTTTGGATTGTCAATTCGAGGCTCGGCGCTCAAGCAGGAAGTGCAGTGTCATTCTTTCCATGACGTATGTGCGAAGAGAGCAAAAGTGAGGACTTTGTTTAACCCTTTAGAATTCATGTCGGGAAACTTAAATAATTAATGAACTCACAATAAAACGTACTTTGAAGGATTTCACTGCAAAAAATACATTGCATGTAGTTTCTTAGACATGTAACTTGATTTGCTATTGCTTATTTTAGTAAAAAACAAAACAATAACGCGAGAATTAAATATCTTTCATCTTTCCAAAATGTTTAGAAGTGTTCTTCTGCGGAAATAAATAGACTGTAATTTACAAGAGCATATTTTTTTTTTTTTAATTAAAAGCTGGCACTAAATATCTGGAAAATACAATTTGTGTGTTTTTTAATTTTCTTGTCATTGCTATCAAACTTCGTATTGAAAAAGACAATTTTGTATCGAAACATTAAAAAAATATGCATCATTCGCTTTATTGCTGACCATCCAATGTTTAATATAACATCGACGTTGTAATTAGAAAGAGGCAACATTACCATGGCAAACACCGTTAATGACCTGTTAATTTCCTTTTCCGGGATTTCATTCAGACGATTCGTGGAACGGAATGCTGATTTATTGTTTTGCCTCCTGACTTTAAAGTTGCTTTACTCTCCCGCCCTACTCAGTGTACAATGTTTACGATTTCCTATTTAAATTCATTAAAAAAAATCCTCTGATGAGACAGCTTAGCCTAGAATTGATGATGTTATGATGAGCCTTATGAGGTACCGCACATTTCTTATCATCCTCTAATCTTGGATTCACAGTTAATGTGATACATTTTGAAGGACGATACGTGTCCAGCCGGTAGGAGATTCATGGCCGTAAACTCAGCTATATAGTGAGTGATATTTGGCGTGTGTTGTGCGCAGCTGCCTTCCGGCGACATGGGAAACAAGCAACCGGCGCAGGGCCAGTCGGAGGAGGAAGAGGAGGCGGTGCGAGCCACCGTCGCCACCGTCAGCTCCCGCGCCCCGGCCGCCGCGGCCGCCGCCGCTGCCGCCACGGCCTCCGCCGCCGCAGCCGCTGCTGCGGCCGGGCCCGGCTACCTCGACCAGAACGGAGAAGAGGGAGAGGACGAGGTGGAGCTGCCGCCGCCCATGAAGCCCATCACGGAGCCCATCCTCGTGGCCGGCAACGCCGCCAACGATGACAGCCAGGGCAAGAGGGTAAGTGCGAGCCCCTGGGACTCCGGGGGGGTCTGCGCTGCTGCGTGTTGTTGGTGTGTCCTCGCGGCATAACCTGCTGTTGGGCCTTGCGTTTTCATATCCTTCTTCCCGTGCTGTCATCCTTTCAGTCTCTACCATTCCCTCCTTTATTGTCGTCCTTTTCTCGTTACCCCTTTCCTCTTTTCTCGCCCTCCTCCCCCCTTTTTTTCACTTTTTCCGTCTCCCTTTCTAGTCCCTGTTTCCCCTTTTCTCGTCTCCCTCCTCTTCTTTTCTCGTGCCCTATTACCTAAGTTTCATGTCCCTCTCTTCCCTTTCTCATCCTCCCTTCCTCTTTCTCAACTCTATCTCTCCCCCTTTCCATCACTTCTTTTCCCAGACCTTTCTGACTTGTGCCCTTTTTCCAAATTTTATTTCATGGACATAAGGCTTGTAATATTCATGGACAAAAGCATTTCCCAAATCAATTTTTTTGTCTATTGTTCTTTTATTTTTTCAGTACAGCGTAGAATATCTCTTCTGTTTTTTTTACTTGTCCTTTCAACTCAATTCCACATACTTTTTGTTTTTTGTTCCTTTGTTCTCCAACCTCCTACTTTCTATTCACATTACAAGTGTTTTTACTGACACTTCCAATTTTCAGATACACATGCCCTTTTGGCATTTTCATATTAAAGTTTAACACTTTCCTTTTTAATGAATTTTCTTTCATTCACCTTACTTCTAGCTCCACTTTTTTTCATGATCTACTCTCTTTATCTTTAATCATGATCGTTCATCTTTATAATATTATGGCCCTCATTGTTCTCTCTCTTCTATTCCTCCATTCCTTCTATTCCTTTCATCCTTTTTGTTCCATATTTTTGCTTATTTGTCCTTGTGAAATTTTTTCTCGTAACAAGTTCCTGAAATGAAGTATTTGTCTGCTTTCTAATGTTATATGTATCATCCGAGCTTTCTAAAGAAAATACTTCCCATTAATAACAATTTCTTCTTTCCCAATGAGCAGTTTACACAAAAACAATGTTCATTATTGAATAGTGGTAAAAAATTGTTGACTAGTCTAAAAGATGTTTTGGTTCCTGTTCTCAATTAATTGATTGAACAACTAATGAATGATATTAGGAACATTTGTAGAAATTCGCTACCTTCTGAATGTTCAGAATTACAGTTCATATAGAAAATAAACTTGAGATGGAAGTGTATAAGAAATTATATTCCAAAATTGTTACTTTTTTTCTCAGTCACATGGAATTGTAATAATTTTATCTTTCATTGTATAATATTGATTTTAATTTATGAAGGTTTTTAGATCATGTGTTGTGCTGTTAAAACATCAAATGCATTCATATCAAATCTCTTCTTAGAAATGTCTACTAATATGTGTAGTTGACCTTAGTGGAAAAAATATTTTTTTTTCTTCCATATTTAGATTTCTCATTAGAGATATTCTTAGTGAATCGCATTCTGAATGGAGATTTGAAAACAAAGTAGAAAAAGAAACACCAGGCAATTTATTTTAATTCTCATTTTACAAGATTATTAATGCAAGTTCATTGTATAATTAAGGATAGGTGAAGGGTAATTTAGAACCTCTACAGCAAGAACTTGATCATGTGGTTCTTAGATACACATTCATTCAGGGGAGTCTTATTTCTAATTTTAGTCATTGTTATCCTCTTAGTTTCCATTATCCCTTGTGTAATGCCATATTCTCAAAGGCTTTTGTCACCTGCGAGAATGCTCATGTGTATAACAAGTTTGTTGTTTGCTGAATTAATTAGAACTCATGTTGGCATGCAGACCTTAGAGCATCACTTTATTTTACAGTCATCGAGTCTCTCTCTCAAGGCTCTGGAAGGCGCCACATCCGCTGACTTAGCAGAAATAGAGCAAATCGTCAAAGAGCGAATGGTGTGTTCTGTATTCTCAAGTTGTGCAATCACATTCTTTTTTGTTAGCATCCTGTACACATTTAGTGCCAGATTTGTATGTTCGCATGGTTGTTTCTTTTTATTATTTTTTTTTTTAATTTGAGGCATTCAATTACTACATACTTATTTATGAAAGTTTCCTACCAGGAATGTAACTCCATATGTTCATTCTTTTTAAGAAACTTTATAATGTTATATCAAAGATAACATTTATTGCCCCTTAATTTTTTTGTTTTGTTTTTTGCAAGAGGTAGGTGGTATATAGTTTCATTGATGTTTGGGTTTGTAGGTGTCTGCTTTGCTCGTGCACTTTGGTTTTTTCTTTGGTGTGGTATTTTCATTTCTTCTAGGTGCATCATATTGTGTGACAGCTGACGTCTTTATTTTTCTGTAATGATGTTCTCTATTTTTTTTTTAATGTAAAATGGATTGTTTTTGCACGTCACTTAGTCATATATTGCACATATGTGTTTTTCTTATTTCTGTAAATAGTGTGGTGCTTGATTATTCTGTTCTTATACTAGAACAATGTTTGTGGCCACTACAAACATATCCAATTTAAAAAAAATATTATGCAAGTAATTTTATAAAGATGTTTTTCGACAAAACTTTTGTATTAAAGATATATGTTATTCAGTTATGTAAGCAAGATGAAAAGTGGAGATGATTGCTTGCCCATTATTTCAAGTTGATTTGCTTTAGCTTTCATGTTTAAAAGTATTGTAAGTATTAAAAAAATGTCAAAGTTATTAGGAAAGTTAAGTCTTTATTTCTGTGTTGGCATTGATGGTATAGTGAACTTCATATGTACTTCAATCATCTTGCTACACATTTTATAAAAACCTTTTCTTTGTGTAATGAGATATTTAATTCTGAAGATTAAAAATTTAATATTAGTAAAATGTAACTATCTACTCAATAATGTTATTTGTAGTGCTGTTTTAATAATTAAACAAGTTGTAAGTTTAAATTTCATATTTCCTTTGAATGTTAAAATTTTTCTTTTAGTAAATCAATCTACAACTCAGGCTCAGATTGCATGAATTGGATGTGATATGTGGTGTGCTTATATAATTAAATACACCTTTTGATATATTTAGAATTGATTAAAATCCAGTAGTTACTGAAATACTTTTGTAATGTGACATATTTTTCAATATTTCAAAGTTAATTTATTATTGCCTTTAACAATCAAAAAATCTATAATTTTGTCTTAATTCTTCATGTTTATTAAATATTATGAATTGAAGATGCTTATAAGTAAGTCATGAATTGTAACAATTAGAGATTTGCTATATTGAACTAAATTGATGATACATTAATGACAATTGCTTAGTTACTTGCCAGTATTACTGAATTTTCCATCAAGTCCTTGGTTACTTTATTGCTACTTTCAATATTAATGTATTTTTGTCCTTTTGTTCAGGAACAACACACTGAAAACCAGGAGCGTAATAGCTTGCGGAATCGTGATTCCAAGCTGTCCAATGAATTTACTTCTGATGGTGAAGTGAGCACGAACACTGCAAGTGATGGGTTGCGGCCCTCAGATGAAGATTCGACAAGTGCTGCTGGCCATGAAGTTGTGGACAAGGGAGGGGGGAGCTCTGCCAGCCAGGGTGAGGGGGAGGCCCCACTTGAAGACGCCAGTGGAGTGACTAGTGAGCCTGCTGCTACATTCCCAGCCGCTTCGAGCATCCCCAGTGATCCAGCTGCTGCTGCCCTGCATAAGCGGGAGTATGTGATTAGAGAGCTGGTGGAGACAGAGCGAGACTATGTGCGTGACCTGCAGTATGTCACTGAAGGTTACATGACACTTATGAGAAACCCAGAGTGTGAAATTCCAATGCCAGAAGATCTGCGGGGAGGAAAAGATAAAATGGTGTTTGGAAACATAGAAGCAATTTATGAATGGCATAGGGAGTGAGTACTGCTACTTCTTCTAATACAAAAAATCAATGGAAGAGAGAAAGTGTACCAAATGTTTCTTGCTAGAAAAGTTGTGTGCAGCAAGAGACAATTGTTTTATATGCAAATATGTGTTGGTTAATCTGTGTTTAAGTGAGTTAGTCCAAATTATTGTTTATACATATTGATTACATTTATATTGTGAAGTCAGAAACATAGAAATGCTTGGTCTGACCACAATGTATCAAATTGATTTTTTTTTAATAATAATTTTTTATTTAGTATAAAGAAATTTTCAGTGCATGAAGAGTGTAATATGTACTAACATATTATTTCTTTTAATTTAATTCACTTCTGAAATTTATATTTGTTGTCCTAAAGCAATTAGTTTTTGCTTATCATTTATTTACTGCATATAATTCAGCAGCTCCTAATTCAAGTGTATTACTTTGTTTATAGCTCATTTCTGAAATCTTTAGAAAGGTGCATTGAACATCCTGAAGAGTTGGGCAATCTTTTCAAAAAATACGAACGTAAACTACATATGTATGTAGTGTATTGTCAGAACAAACCCGTGTCTGAATACATTGTCTCGGAGTACATTGACACTTACTTTGCGGTATGTATTGAATACGGTCTCATTGGTTGAAATAAGAAAAAAGAAAGGGAATATTTTTTCTGAAAATAACCACTTTACAGGAATTACGTCAAATCCTTGGCCATAAGTTACAATTGTGTGATCTCCTAATAAAACCTGTGCAACGTATAATGAAGTATCAATTAATGCTCCGTGATATTTATAAATATACTGAAAGAGCTGACTTAAAAGGAGAAGTGGAGTCTCTTCGTCAAGCTTTACAAGTCATGCAAGTAGTTCCCAAAGCAGCAAATGACATGATGGATGTTGGAAGACTTCAAGGTTTTGATGTAAGTACAAAAAAAAATGGGGAAAGATGTATTGAGATAGTGATTTAGTAAGTGTTTAGTGATAGTAAACAAACTTGTTGAAAATTATTTTTTTGAGTGTTAGGCATAAATTAACTTATCACTAGAACAAAAAAGAAAGGGCAAAATTTTACTGTTACGTTTGTAAATAATTATTAATGTTTTATTATGTACCCTGGTTGATTGCTTGATTGAGGACTAGAATTGATATTTTATTTCTTCTATTGAAACAACAAATAGTAGAAAGTGTGATGATTGTTTGAATTGCATTTATAATTTTGCTTACACATTTTTCTTTTATCAACAGGGTAAAATAACTGCTCAAGGCAAATTACTTTTGCATGGACCATTGGTCTGTTGTGATGGTAATTCTCCATTTGGCGTCAAACCCAAAGAACATCAAGTCTTCTTGTTTGAACAAAATATAATCTTCAGTGAAGCAGTTGGTAAAAAGACGCAATTCACCAATCCTGTTTACATTTATAAAGCTCATATCCAGGTAAGAAGTAAATTTTAATTAAAAGAAACCTATTTATTAAGCTGTGGATCCTAAAAAATCTAATTGTCTAATTGTTCATTGTTATTGGTTATTAGGTGAATAAAATTTAAGAATTTTGTGTTTTGTAATACTACAATTGCCTTAAAATTTTCTTGAATTTTTTAAAACTGTATTAAAAAGTTCTCATTAATTCATAATGATAGAATTGTTTCCAGTGTTTAATTATATCCATTTATTTTATTTTATTTTTTTAACAAGTCATCATTTCTCCAGGTGAACAAGATGAATTTGGTCGAGTCAACAGAAGAGAGTGATCCATGCAAGTTTGTCATCAAGTCAACTGATCCACGAAAGCCAAATGTTTCCTACACATGCCAAGCTTCATCCAAAGAAAGTTGTGAAGAATGGGTTTCTACAATACAAAATATTTTACAGTCTCAAAATGACTTCCTCAAGGCTATTCAGTATCCAATACAATATCAGAAGGAATTAACAAAAGAGGTGTAAGTATTGAGGATGCCCAAGATGAAGTTGCAGTCACCTGAGTATTTAAAACTGGTGACTACTATATGATGAGGTGGTTATGTTAACCGGGCCATGTGTGCACATGAGGTTTTTGTGGCAAGAGTTTTAGGTTTGAGTAACGTGTGGACAGAGCCTTCCTCATTGCAATTGTGAAGAATTGTGGAAGGAAAGTGCTTTGAATATGATATGAAATAGCCATTGACTTGCTTTCCATGCAGATATTATTTTCATAATAAAAATTCATGTCGATATGAACTGAATGTTCTGTATAGTACATTACTCTGTAAGTCGTTTGTTTAAAGCATATAATCAATAAGTCCATTACCAAGCAGTGTAACACTAATTATCTTGCATCTTAGAGAACACATTTTATTTACAGGCCAGTTTGTTTGTAGGTGTTATGCCATGGGTGTTCAGATGTTCTGTATTAGATTCTTTGCTTCAAATTTGAGCAAAATTTCTTAACTCCAAATGATAAAGCTTCCATTAGGGAAGTAAACGAAAAGTGATAAAAATATTTACATTTGTGGCCTGCTTTTTTGACAGAGCCTTTCAAGACAGAGTTTCTGTTTAAGTTGTTCTCTTAGAGGGTTTTGTTGGACCCTTCCTGTATGTACTTTGCCATTAATGTAAATCTTATGCATCACACGGTACTTGTGGCAATGATGCAACATTAAAAATCAGTCTTTTCAGTTATTGATTTTTGCTGTTGAGTCATTTAGTGAGTATCTATGGAAGTGCCTGCTAAAAGTTCACATCCTAAGATGACATCTGTTTGATGTCTATCTTCAGTAAAGCTTTTCCTGAAGCTCTTGCTCCTGCCACAGTGATTAGCATGGCCTTGTAGTAAGTGGTCATCCTCTGACCAACTGGAGTTCGCAGTGTGATTGTTCTTGCCCTTGCTGTTTAGAAAGCCATGAATAACGGGTATGAATCTCAATTTTTCTTTACTAAAAGAGCTCTGTTACTCCAGTCCATCAAAAAAATGAATTATGCTCCTAATATATAAAAGTTGTTTAATTGCTGAGTGTCAATAAGCTACCAACGAAAAAAATTCTTTCATCTTAATGTTGGTCTGTGTGTGCTCTATGGCATGGAAGGTATCAGCTCTATAAACCTGCCCCCCTGATCTGGAGTCAAAAGACAGTGAGATTATGATGTACATAAAAATGTATGTTTGTATATAATAAAAACAAAACATTTTCAATAGAATGAAAACAGTCATGTCCTTTTTGTAACTAATAAATTCCTATCCATAATTTCCCAAATTCAAGTTTTACCTTATTGTAGTTCTCCTCAATTTGTTTGACATGGAACGAGATTCAACTCGGACAGTTACAGCAGATGTAGTGTTGAGGCCTCTTACCTGTAATCCCTTTATTCTGGAGGATAGTTGTAGGCAAAATGTAATTTAGAGCACTGGCACTGCAATATTTTCATTTTTAGGGGTTCCTCTCATTTTGGTCTGTCTGCACAACTGCTTAATGTACATTGACTTCCATTTTGTTATTAATTTTTTCAATTTATTTCTGTAATTTATTTGTTTATTATTTACTTTGCTTTGACCTCTGCTGCATGCTCTAGCAGAATTTTTCTCAAGTAGTGTGCACTTGTTTTGTTTTATATATTTTTTATTTACTTTGTTTCTCCTGCTCCTATTCTATCATAGCTCAGCACCTGAGTACAGCTCGGTGTGGAGTCCTTCACTTCGGAAGACTCTGTCGCACCCCAACACTCAATCTTCGCACTCAGCTGAAAAAGCAAATGGAAGAGCCTATAAGCACCTTGAGAAAGCTAGCACCATTCCTTGTTCTGGCACTGCTGTTGCTTCCTTGCTTCCCAATGCTTTCCCAGTGCTTAACAACAAAGCTGACAGTAGCCCTGGGTCAAGTTCTTCTGTTGATACCAACTTGGTACTAGAGAAGCCTCGCATTCGCACCCAGAGTCCTACCAAAAAACTCAACTTCCTGGAAGGATTCCGTAATACCCTAAGGTCTCGTACTAAAAGTGAGGTGCCTTATTGTGGTGAATATGATTGGAGTGGAACAAAGACTCCTAATCCTGTGATAAGTGGATGCGACGATAAGAATTTGACGCGAAGATGGTCTGAAACGAGTTCTCCCAATGTGGTAAGGCAACGCTTGAACCAGTGAGTGCAGTTAACATTGCTCCACTGGCATTTTCACACAACTAACAAAAATACTATGTAGACAAAGAATTTACATATTTAACACTTCTGAAATCAGAAATGATAGCGCATGTTGTTTTCTTTGTTTCAATCTTAATCTTCAAAAAATCTAGTGGATTGTTTAACAATTTCTTGTGGATACTGGTACTCTGCTTGCTCCTCTTTTGTATATTATCTCAATAAAAAGTATGTATATTCTGCTATTGAAAAGGTACACAAAAAATGTTTTCTTCACTTGTTAAATAACTATATATTTCATTAACATCCACACAACTAACAATGTAAGAAAATGCACGAAAATAACCATATGTGAAATGACAACATTTTCTCATCGATTGTGGCCATGACTTTTGTGTCAAGTTTATTGCTTTCTGACATGGAATAGTGAACACTTTGGGAATGGTGCCTTGCTACTGCCTGTGGAAGAGGGTAAGGTTTACCTCTTTTCTTCTTGCTAACTAGAAAATGAATTATGATAGTTTTCATTCATAACATTAGTATTAGTTTATCAAAAAAATCAGGAATAGGCCATTTCATCAAATATCTTTCAGTAAATGATAATTTGACGTAATAAAAATTCTTCTTTGCAAATGATTTAAGTAGTGCTTTCTTTTTTGAAGCTATGTAACAAAGGCTAGTTTACTCAGAAATGCCTCACAAGATAAGTTCTACATCTTTACAAATACACATTGTTTATCTTATTAATTACATTAATAATTTTAAATTCAGTAAATGAATACTATGTGAGTAAAAACATGCTTTTATTGTCTGTGACAAAAAAGGTTACCATGAATTTATTTAATTAATTAATTAATTTATCATTCAGCCCTTGGCCTAAAAGGCAATGACTGTTTACGACTGACAATGGCTGACTAGGTTAAAGGAGGATTACTTCATTGTATGTTCAATGCCAGTTCATGGTTATGTAGAATGTTGTTACAAATGAACGTAACAGAGAAAAAAGAAAGAAAAAATCAACAATGAACAATATTCCGGCAATATCATTGCAGCATTTTATTCTTTTTTACTGAATACTAATGAAATACTTTAGTCACATGATTTACAAGTGCTTCAAGTCAAGAGTTAACTTTTGAGAAAAGTGTACCCACTTCCGATGAAAAGTATGGGGGTTTGATGTATTTCACAAAGTACATCAAACTTTTTTACCAAAAATGTCACTTAGAGAAGATAGAATTCAGAATAAAAAAATCAAATAACTTTTAATTTGAAAATGTTACCATAATGTGTTTTAGTTGTAAGCCAATGAGTTGTGTTTTTTGGTAACTTGTTTGAGTATAAATTTCCTTTCTTTCACAATATAATAGCTTGTTATTCTGCATGGGTGATGACTATAGAGTTCAAGAAAAAGTTAAATGAATAAACATTTAACTTATTTAATCTTTTAATGTAAAACTGTTACCCAAAAAACAATTTTTTGTCTATAAATGAAGTCCAAATCCAGAGTGGCAAAATTGTTAAATCTACAGACAGAAAAGAAAATAATAATTGAATAAACATTCACAATTTTTCTAAGGAAATCTAACTGTATAATAAACTCATGTATCTACAATTTTCACCCACTTCTCTGCAAAATACTTCACAGAATTTGGGAGCATCATCAAGGAAGTGTTTCTCTTCATCTTGACCTAAAGATGGAGATGGTAGGTGGAAAAGGGAATAAGAATTGCAGATTAGTTAATATGATTAACTTATCTACATTTTATATAATTTTTATTTACATTTGCAATCACATAAATAACATCATAAACAAGATATCTATAATATACGTTTATCTTTTAAAAATTAAAATTGATTCCATTTGATCTCTAATCAATAATTTGTGTATATTTTTTAAATCAAGAAGAGCCAAATACACTAAATACTATTTCTTCAAGATTCTATCCTATTCCTATCCTAAAAGTAATGAAAAGAAAAGTAAATCTTTGTAATATGGTGTGCGCTTTTCATCACAAATGTACCAAATTAATAACTACATTCAAATTATATAAACAAATAGATATCAGATTTGTGCAATAATACATTTCTAGAAAATGACTTCTGAATAATTTGTGTCATTTTTAATATGTTAATTATCTTGATTTGACTCACTTCTGAGTAAACAAGCCACCTATGAATTTAGGATTGTAAATTTTTGTTTTATTAAATAATTTATTGCATATCAAATAAATAATTTATTTTTATAAAATACTAGTATGGTTGTGCTTCATTCAAAATATGTATAGTATGTTTCCAATACATTATATTCAACAGAAATTTGTAAACTTGTGTATAGTACTTAACTGATATTTCTTTAAGATTTTATTTTTTTCTTTCATATGTAGATTGAACCTTCATCACCACCTGTGATTCCTGCTGGAAGTATTGTGAAAGTGATTGCTGATTTTCATGCACTCCGAAGTGATGAACTTGCAGTGAATAAGGGAGAAACTGTGCAAGTGATAGCCTTCAGTTCAGAAAGAGGTTATCTTGTGCGACTACAGGGGGATAGTAAGGAGACTGTAGAGGAAGGTTGGATTCCAGTCCATAATTTATCTCAGGAAGTGACAGGTAGTGCTGTTGTTCCTCGTAAACCATGGTCATTCCGATTCCGAAAGCCTAGCTTCAGTAGTGGTAGTAGACGGGGAGAAAGGCGTTCATTTGATGGTGGTCTTAATACATCCTTCGGCAGCCCCCACAAATTATCACCAGATATTGGGGCTGGACTAATCCCAGAATACCCAGTGTCCCCACCTGAATTTCTGGAGAGACTTTATGATACTAGTGTACCTTGTGGAGGACGAGCTGAACTGCGATGTAGAGTGCACTGCAGTGAAGCAAGTGATATGAACATTATGTGGAGGAAATCAACTGGAACAAACAGAAGAGGAACTGACACAGGAAGTTTGATCATTATTCGAACTGGTGGAAGATTCAATGCTGGCCTTGGTGATGAAGGAATTGCTTACCTGAACATTGATAATTGTCAAATGTCTGATTCAGGAGAATATTCTTGCACAGCTTCTAATGATTCTGGAAGTGTATGTACGTCATGCATCCTTACCATCACAGGTATGTCTTCCAATTACCATCACAATTGTGTGTCTTTAGAAAAATAGGCTCAGTATTTTCTTATTTTCTAGAAACATTATGCATATGGCAGCCATTACTTAAGAATGTATTTGAATATTTATTCTCAATAAATAGTTATTATATTATCTTAGTCACGAAATGTTAATAATAGTGTGTCCTGTTAACATTATTAAAATATTAATGGTATGAATGAAATATTATAAAATGATACAGAACAGAAATGGAAGTATGGTTTCCAATAAACAGATTTAAAACATCATGAAAAGGGTGCTTAGTATGCTGTTGAGTGTTCTGAAAAATTTAGAACTGTTTTTTCTTCTCTATAAAAAGTAAGCAGGGTCGCTTATATCATATTTCATTTCATACAGAATAGATAGAAATTGGTTTTTTTGAAGGCAATGGAAATAAATTGATATTTTAAAATGATGTTGCACTTCCTCACTATCATGACAATGTTGTGTATTTAAATACTAATTATTCTTCAAACATACCATGCAACTTGCAAAATTAATAAGTAGGTACCAAAGCTAATGGGAATGAATGGTGAAATAGCATGTATTTAAAATTTACTTTCAAATTTCACATAAATGAGTAGTATCATCAACCTATATTTCAATCTTCTTTTCATATTGTACTGGGTTTTATAGTCTAGTTTTATAGTCATATTGTGTGGGTTTTATCATGGTTGCAGTTCTTCAAAAGCATTTTGCCCTTTTCATAGTTTGATAAATTAATGTTTTCTTTGTACACTGAAGCTTTTGATACTGATTTTATGAGACATTCTTAATTATAAAATTTGTAATATATATTTTGTATATGATAAATATTATGATAAATAATATTAACTTCATGTGTTAAAGGATTTCTTGGTATGTGGAAACTTTGGGTATATGATTTCAGGTCCTGGTTACAATGCTCCAAGTCAGCCTAGAGTGCAAGTGATGGCTGGTAACAGTGTGCTTCTTCATTGGGAAGGAGAAGCATGTGGCCATTATTTAGTAGAGTGCTGTCGACATCGTACTGGAGAATGGCTTCCCGTGGGTGATGGTGCTACCATTTGTGGTCTTTCATTTGTAGTGGATGGACTTACACCTGGAGAAACATATAGTTTTCGAGTGTTAGCACCTCTTCATGGAGGAACCAAAATTGCTGGTTTGCCATCACTTCCTGTTGCTATACCTCCAGTGGACTCTGGCCGTTGGCAGCAAGAACAATTCCAAAGACGATATCAAGAACTTGAAGAAATCGGTCATGGGCGATTTTCTACAGTACGAAAAGCACGAGACCGAGGTACTTTACAAGAAGTTGCTGTAAAACAAGTGTCATGTAAGCGACAGTCCCATGAAGTGACACAAGCTGAATATGCTCTTCTGGCTCGACTCTTGCATTGTAATATTGTTCGAGCATTGGCTTTATTTGAAAATGCTCCCGATCCTGGTGTTGACTCCATTGTAATGGAACTGTGAGTATAATTGCTAGAAATTGAGTACTTAAAGTGTAATAAGTTAGTGACTAAAGAAATTAGCTTGGAAGAGTTAGTTAGAAGGAAATTGCTTACAAGTGTAAAACAATTTTCTCCTAAGTTTCATTTAAAAGTAGCAATATATCATTCTACACACATTTGCTTGTGGGGCTACTAGGTTTAGAACATCAGAAAATAAAAGTAGTGATAAATAATAAAATTATAGAATAGGTCCCAAGTTTCTCATGCCAAGGTCAACTGAAATGCAGATCTCATGAAATGAAGGTTTTGAAAGGAAGCTGGCTAGGTAAAACAAAATTAATGGCTCTATAAGAAGACATTTCAAAAATATGATCCTCAAAACAAAAATTACATTACACAGTATGGTACCTACAAGGATATTGTTATATTATCAATATATTATTGAGAGGCATGGGTAGTAAAGTAGAGACAAATCAAGTTTGGAAGTCTTGAGTGAGATAATAACTCATTAACTTGCTGTCATGTGGTTTTGGAGCATCATCATAAATATGTAAACATTCAAAATTATACTTTTACAGAATCTGTCTTGTTTATACAAATATTTCATATACTTATTCATAATCTTTACATATCTTACTCATATACATACATACCTTCATATTTTAGAATTATACATCCTAAAATTTCGTATTATGTTTATCCTATTCTCAGTAAAAGCTCTCTGATCCATTCTAACTTAACTATTATGAAAAGGTATCTATTAGATAATTTTGAAGTGATTCAAAAATACTATTTTCATTTTTTTTTTAAATGTAGGTTAGAAGTCTACTGAATAACAATCAGGCTTTTCAATATGGATCCTGTTTATTGACGATGATGCAGAATTCATCCAATGCTGGTTTATATGCCTTCTAGTAGTACGAAATTTGTACATTTCCTTATTTTGTATAATGTAGATTATTGTTTTGTATAATGTAGGTTATTGTTATAGTGTAGAGTATTGTTTTTCATTAGTGGAATAGAGTGAAACTTCTATCATTATATTATAGAAATCCATTCATGATTGTTTATGATTTGGACGAAATGTATATTGAAGAGGTCTTCTTTGAACTGTAATCATGTCCCTTGTTTTTTACACATGTTATTCCTCATATTTCTCTATGATATTGAATGAGTCAGTATGGGAGTGAAAGTTCATTACACGTAAGCTGTTGTATTGTAAGCCTTTTCACTGTCATAAGAAAGATTTTACTTTCAGGAGGTGTTCGAATGTATTTTTAAATATATTACATCAAAAATTCCAAAAAATTTCTGGCTGTGTACTTGGTGTATATCCAAGCTGTTTACATTGTTATTTTGATTTTGTTAGTGATGAAATTGTATCATATATGTTTTGTTTATTATTACTCATTACTAATTAATGCCCAAATTAATTTTGTGCACCTAGCACTCATCAGTTGACATCTTGTTTGTGTGTGCACAGCCACTGTTGGATCCCTCTGTCAACATGTTTTTGCAACTTTCAGTGCTAATCAATTTTGTCACTAACTAATTGCTAAAAGAGTGCTCCAAAGCACAAGCACTGCAGCACTCAAAAGCTGCATATGCCCCATCAACTTCAGTGTGAACCAACCACTGTTTGCTTTACACCGGTCTCTCCTTCCCAATTAATATTGGGCATATAGCAGCTAAGAATGGTTTTAGATGAAATTTGACCTGACACAAGGCATGATTACATCCTTGCCAAGAGTGTACTATGTTTTAGGGATCATGGCTAAATCAACAGCTGGCAGTCAAATATGAAAAAACTTGCTTATATGCTTTGTTTAGTTTGTCTATATCTATTGAAGAAATAAAATCCACAAAGTATTGCAAAAGAAGCAAATTTGAGTTGACCTGAAATGCGCATCCTCAAATAAAGCTGGGTATTAATGGATTAAGTTTAAGTTGCTGTAACTTAGATTTCTCGAAATTTGATACATAGTGTCAAGGGATGAAATAATGAAACTTTGAAAATAAGCTCTCAAGTCAATTTTGTGCATACTTTGTCTAATAAACCCCTTTGATACTTTGATGGTTAGACTGAGATAAACACTCAAACATTCAAAAGTTCTTTTGAAATAATACTTTCTATGCCAAATTTTTATTTCAGAAACATGTAAACACTTCAGAAACATGTAAATTGTTCATCATGTACAAAAGAACTGAATGTATTTGTTTACTGAGAAAAATTAACATTGAAATAAAAAAGTAATTGAATTGTGTAAATTGGGTGTCTTTTTTTAAAATTTGTGTTAATTGTTCTGTTTGAACAAATATATCCATTTATTTTGTAAATAATACACAATTTACATGTTTTTGGAATGTTTATATGTTTCTGAAATGCAAATTTTTGCATAGAAGACTCTTTTTCAAATCAAATTGTGAGTGCTTGACATTCAAAATATTAAAGGAGTTTATTAGACAAAATATGCTTAAAAGTTACTTAAGAGCTTATTTTTGAAGTTTTGATGTTTCCTCCCTGGACACCTGGGCATTTTGTTTAATGAGAGGTATATATCTTGAGTTTATGTCAGTTAAAATAACTCAACTCTGTACTTGGCAATATTTCAGCTGTATATTACACCTTCTTCAGGGTGGTAAATATCACCATCTCTCAACCTTCCCACCTCACCATCTCTATTTCTCCCTAGACTCTTTAAGTTAATTCTTTGTCTGTCTGTAATGATATTAGATCTTAATTGTTACTAATTATGCTGCATCATGTACATACAAGATTAGTTTATTATGAGATAATGGAATATCATTCACACACAATAGGAATAATTGTGGCTCCAATACACATTAATGGGAAACTCTTGACTTAAATTCAATAGATTTAGATTTAATTTTATCTTTAAACTTTTCTGATTTTCAGTAGATTTGTATTCTGTGTTTTTTATATTTAACATTATTATAAACATAAATAGATGAGATAAAATTTGATACAGGAACATATAGTAGATCAGTAGGTACCGAAGAAAATGGCAAAATGATGTTAAGAGAATTATGACAGGTAGTTATATAGTTCTATAGATATGTAAAACAGATAGTGATATAGTTCTATAGGCAAAGGAATGGAGAATGCAGACGCCTCAACTAAGATTCCTTGGTCAGGAACATTAGTGCCTAAGGATCAGGTCATGCAGACCTAAGTCTTGATAATGAGAATGATGATTCTTAGTAATAATGTGCATAAACTTTTGGTAGCCTTCATATTCAGATTGTGAGTTCAGACTCTCTCTTTTGCAGGGTGAATGGACCATTGCTATTTTCATACATGTGCAGGCAAGAAGAGTATAGTGAAGCAACTGTTTGCCATTTCACTTGTCAATTAGTGTCAGCATTGGCAACATTGCACCAGCAGAAAATTGCTCATTTGGATATAAAGGTACAACTCCAGTAATTTGTCAGCTCTGATGCTATTTCTGTTATTTTGCTTCATGTGCTGGATGTATAATTAATAACATTTCAAAATGAATTGACTAATAACTCAGTGATTTAAGACAAATGTTTATCACAATTGTTTTTGTTTCTCTCAATAGCCTGAAAACATAATGGTTGATTTATCTAGCCACAGCCCTGTTTTAAAATTAGTCGATTTTGGAGATGCAGTGGGTCAAAGAGATTTTGAAGTCTTACCACCTGCCAACTTAGAATTTGCTGCACCTGAAATGGTTTTAGGTCAGCCAGTTATGTGCCAAACTGATATGTGGAGTGTTGGAGTATTCCTTTATGTATTTCTCAGGTAAAACAAATATTCAAAAAACATTTTCCAACTATTATTATGAACTGCATTACCATCTAGACTCCTTTAAGTTTTGACATCATTAATATGTGGATCAATTGAAAACTGATGAATGGCAATAAATGTTTCTGTTCTTTAGTGGGTTATCTCCTTTTTTGGATGATTCAATGGAAGAGACAACTACCAACATTCTCAAATGTGATTTCTGTTTTCCTGAAGAATATTTTGCACAAATATCGAATGAAGGAAAAGATTTAATTGGCCAGTTGCTTGTTTCCAGTGCATCACAACGAACAAGCCCTCATGATTTTCTGGAATCATCTTGGTGTAATGATGTAAGTGTAATATTTTGAGTGACTTTGATTAGCCAGTTATTTCTGAATAAATGTTGTTTGAAACATGAATTCTATGTTTTAAAGAGATACTAATATATTTTGCTTCATTTATTTTAATATTAGTAGCCTGTAACAGTAAAAGTTGCTATTGGCCAGCATTTTAATAATTTGAATAATTGGATTAAAAAATGGAGTGGACAGAAAATCTTATTATACTATCTTTTTTCTTTAGACAACATCAAAATGCATGACACACCTTTGTACATTTGTGAAAAATTTCAATTTAATTAATATTGTTACTATGATTATTAGATTCAAATGTTTCATTTCCTAGTTCTTGTAGTCGTTTAGAAAATGCTCATTTATTGTCACTTGTACACGTTTCAAATATTCAAAGTTTCAATATTGTAAGAAAATTCTAAATCTTACTGTTTTGAACATTGGATTTACTTTGCTTCCCCAGGTAACACTTTCTGAAATCTTCTCTGGAAAATATTTCTTTTCCACCCTTTGGAATATTACTTAACTCTAGTTTTTCTCCTTTAATAATAATGTCTCTCAGTTAATGGTTAATAGTTAACTGATACACCTGGAATCATTGAATTTGAGAACAAAGAATTGTCTTGCTAAACCAATCACAAATGTGAAAAGACCTTACTCTGAGGCAACACTGATTCAATTATTCAATTATTATACATTGGATAATGCAGTATTTTTGAAATGAATAAAACAATAAGAAATCAATTAGCAGAGAAGTGAACAGTTTGCTGAAGAGCTTAAGACTTAATAAGAATGTTTCTTTGTATTCAGTTAACTTTTATATTTATTATTATTTAATATTTCTCAATTACAAATTGTTTTCAATAAAATTTTATGTTCTAAAATATTCATCTATAAATTATCACCTTACCTTTAGCTGTAAGCCACATAAAATAAGTCATGAACTGAACAATAAAAGGCATTTTATATATTTAATTCTTATAATTATTTTTGTGAATTAATAATGATGTTATTATTTGCATTTACAAAATTGAAAAGTTATGAATGATTCATATTCATGTGTTCTTTAATAAAAACAATTTTATTTCCAACACAATTTTGACACTAAATGTTCCATGATATTCTAATGCACATTGCACCAGACAAATCCAATGTTCTGTACTTGGGAAGACTATATAGTCCTTTTTGCTCATGGAACCTGGCTTGGTGCTCTGCCCCTTGTGCTGTTTTATAACACCCCTCATGGTAACAAATTTAATATAAAGATGAACTGGGAGCACCCCCCAAACGTCCACACTGCCATTACCTTTGTTACTACAACAAATCTACACTTGAATAAGATAATATTTAATGTGAAGTGATGGTTTCATTATTATTGCAGCAATCTTTGTTTGAAATCTCTATCTTGAGGTAGTGAAGGTACACAATCACACATTCATTATTAGTGTCTATTGAATGTGTGTTATTATCTTTTCTGAATATGTACAGTTTTGAAAGCTTACGATAAATAAATCTACTTTCCCTGAAGAGGCCAGTGAAGGTGTATCAGTACTAGGGATGACACCTTCACTGACTGTTCCACATTCACCATGACATATTATCAAAAATACTGTTCAAATAATGCTCTGAAATTACCAACAAATACTGTAGACTAGATAAGTATTCATTATATTGAGATATCATTACAAAGTTAAAAAGAGTTTTAAGAGATTTCAATAAGTTAACATATTCATATATAACCCAATGAAAATATTTTCACATATTTCTTTAGTCCATGTAGATGTAGAAACTAGCATTAAGATACATATCCTTTTTTGAAATGATGAAGAGGAAGTTAAAGATAAAATAGATGCTTTGAGTTTATGTGCTGTTGATCTGCAGTTTTGAGAATTTTGTGTTGACATTTTTGTGTTTTGAAATTTTACCAATTTTTTGCATTTAATGTTTTGTGGAATTCATTCTTAAAAATTTTTTGGTTTTCTAAAATTTCTTTGTGTTCATTCACTCAGTCAAACATGTGCTAATACTGAATTTTGATTGTAGGTGGAGAAAGCATGTTCCATTCCATCAGTACGATTATTGTCATTCATGGAAAGGAGGCAATCCCTAGCTCGACCTGTATATCCTGGCTCAAGACCTCAAGCTGAGAGTTGAGATTTAAGAAGAGATGTTTGTGTCATATATTTTAAATGCTTGAGAAAGGTTTTCAATAAAATTGCGCAGCTATTTTTGAGACATTTAAATAATTGTTACCATTGTATTCAGTAGATTTGTTAGACAGAATGTATGTGCTTTTGTATGTAATAAGGTTGAATGGAAATTCATTAATTGGAAAACTGCAGGATCCATGATGACTTCTGCTGACATGTTACAACTGTGTATAAGAGTTTGTGTGAAGTAAACACAAAAGATAAGGGAAAATTTGTGATATGCTGAGAGATTGTGCATTACAATGGCATCTTCAGCTGTTTCTACCAAAACTTGCATTTGCTCCCTCCATCAGTCATTAGATCAGTAAATGATGTATTTCGACTGAAACATAATATATATTAGGTTACTTTAATAATTAGTCACTATCTGTTTCATTTTTACGAATATCAGATTTACATTCATTGTGCTTTGCTCGTGAAGCAATATCACAAGTGCAGAATTTATAACTATATATGTTAATATTAATAGAAAATTGTATTTTAAGATGTGTTGTACATTATGAGAAGTTAGAGTACCATTTAAATGACGATATAAATGCATGTTCCAAAAGATTCATTATTTTGTCCTAGCAATAACATTTAAAATATGTTAAAATGAGACTTATGAAATACAGCTCCTGTGAAAATATTTTGTAATTGTCATTAGTTGTATTCATGATCTTTGTAATCTGCTGTAAATATTAAATATTAATGTTATACAATAGCATTTTTAATTAATTACTTTGTTCATGACATATTGAACAAATATGATAAATGTCATGATATACTGAAGGAGTGCTGCGAGACTTATTCTTCTTGCTGAACCTGCTTTTTCTGTGATATATCATTCTCAACAGGATTTATTATTATTTGTGTTACAATTGCAAACTTGTCAAGTGTTCATAGGAAAACTAGTGAAGCTACAACAGCACATACTTGCACACATGATTTCTAACTTTTGCAAATTTTGAAAATTCAGAGAGATTAACCTGTGCCATTTTTATAAGCTTACTTTGAATTATCCTGAAAAGAAAAAAGGAAGGAGAAAAAAGAAGCCTTTTTTAAGGAAATCTTGTTCTTTGCCTTTATTTCATGCAAAATTCTGGGGAAAATACTCATATTTTGAAAACATTCTACATGCCCTCATTTAAAGATCAACTTTTGAAGAACAGATTTCATGAAGAAAAAAAATTTTAATTTTCAATATAGACAATAGAAAGACACTAAATTTTTTTAAAACTTTTGTTGTTTTCGAAATTTTAGAGAGTTCAATGAAAGTGGCCCTGTGCCATTTTTGAGAAAATTCTGAAACTAGTTTTTGTACATCATGTAAAATACCGCCCAAAACCAAAATATCTGTTTTAAATTCAAGGGGTCATGACATCAATCAGATCGATTGGAGCATATCAATTTTGATAAAAATCCTGTGAAAAGGTTTAGCTGCAGATTTTGTTCACAGGCAGACTGACAGAATTTTTGCCATAAACCAATTTTTTGGTATCAAGGACTCCACAAGGATCGACACATTAATGAGCTAACTATTATTCAATCTTTAAAAAATTGTTTTTTGGGCTCTTATCACTCTGCAAACCACCCCTCCATGGCAATCATTAAAAATATTCTTACCTTACAAATGACTTAAGCTTTGTAAATGGACAATAGGGGTTGGAGGACTGAGGGGGCTTAGGCTAGTGGAGGAAGACATGTGGTCTATGAATTCAAAGCTATCCACATGAATTTCCTGCATTACAATCAGACTTATGAGCAAATACATTTATTAAAAGGAGAGCTTCAAAATAATTTTCTGTGATGTATTCCCATTCCCCTGTCGTGCCCCAATCTTGGCCAGTCATGTTGAATAACATACAATGCTATAACAATTTTACTGTTTCCTAAAAGTGACTTACCATACTTCCTTCTTTGTATTAAAACATAGGATTCTTCTTCTACCATGCATGTATATATTTGAAATAGTGGTCTTTACAAAGGACATTCTCGTGGAGAACAAAGACACTTTTACTCTAAATTCTGATGTATACAACTCCAACACGCGTCAAAAGGATAACCTTCATGTTCCCCACTGAAACTACACTTTACCAAAAAGGTACCCTAATAGAGGGCATTGCACTTTACAACAAACTGGGCAATGATATTGAAGACATAAACACAATTCATACTGTTAAAAGTAAATTGAAAGCTTTCCTCCTTAACAACATGTTCTACAATGTGAAGGAATATTCAAATCACAACAATACTTCCTTAAAAAATATAAATAAATAAAAATTCTTATCCCATTTGACTTTCTGTTTCATGTTGACCATTTTCAGCTGAAGCAAAGATAAAAAAACGTCATGCGTCCTGCTTGTGTTAAATTGCAAATGGACCAATGTAGAGGGAGAATGCCTAACCAAAATTGCTGTTTCTTCACTCTGGATTTGCTAGATTCATTAGGTGCTGCAGTTGGACCAGGTGTACAAATAGAAAAAAGAACTGGCAAAAACCTTCCTCCTACTCCTCACCATTTCAAGATTTAAACATAGAATGTACTAATATTGTTAAATTATATGTAGTTGCTACCATAATTGAAATCATGTACTATTTTAATATTATTATTATTATTATTATTATTATTATTATTATTATTATTATTATTATTATTATTATCATTATTATTAAACAAACCTAGCATTCCAAAATTGTACCAAAAATCTTGCCATCTAAATATGATGATAGGGGAGGAAGAAGAATGCTGGGTTGGATTCCAAGTGACAATTTACTCAGTACTCTTGCAATGTTACATGCACTATGGTGGTTGCACGATTCAATACATAGTCACCATGAAGAGGATGGGGAGGAGGTGGGAGGTATTACTGGCAAAGGTGGGTAGGCTGGCAGCAGGTCAATTGTGTTCCCGAACAGCATTGGTTCCCATATTTTGTTAATCCATCGGCAACACTTGGCAGACCACTAACAGAAATACATGGCTCTCAAAGAACCGAAACAAGCAACAATTCAGCAGCTGTATGATGCTTTTATGTATCATTGTCTTAATTGCGAGTATGGTTACCGTGTTTCGAGGGTCTCTCCTGCTGTCCATGTTTATTTTTGAAATATTTGGAAAGGTCTGTATTTTCATCTGAAGCCCACAATTCATGGGTATTTCAATGCCAAGAAAGCAGGCTTACTATTTCAATAATAGCAGTCTTGTATGTTTTTTCCGAACTTTTGAAATTGTTCATTTTATTTTGCTATTCCTGCCCTTAGTGACAACGAAGAAATATATTTTAATGTACAGTGGACAAAAGAGTGCTAGCAACTTTATGTTGAGAGTATTGAAAGGTTAGTTGCTGTAAAGTTTAATATGAAATATTTATTTAATGGGATCAATTTTATTATTATATAAATTAGAAGAACGACCTCAACAAGATTGGTTCTTTATAAAAGTACAGCTTGACAAATTCTATTGTAATTTTTTTAAACTGGCTTTCTTAAGTGTTGTTTGTATTATGTACACATTTACTTTATGTGCATCAACTGAAATTAAAGGTCGGAGCATACATAGGAATGCGAGGGTGTCAAGTAGCTACGGGAGACATCTGGAAATGATTCTCACACCAATGTGGGCCCAGGTATATGGGTGAGGGGTACAAGGCAGCTTGCGCTCTCCTTCACCACACAATATTCTTTTGGATGAACTTAATACTTTTCTTCATTTCTTTTGTATCATAATAATGGATCAATGTTTTATCCACTACTATCACACTAATCAAAACATTGGAAGACTTATCTTTAAAATTAATAAATTGACATGGATGTTAGTAACTCTATTTCAGACTGCCAGTGATTAGGGATCCATTTAGCAGTTAGTTTTCCTACCTAATACATTCACATACCTGCCATGTATATTTTCAGTATTCATAATATTGAATCAGATACCATTGCAATTCTCAAAATAGGAGAAATTATTTATAAAACAACTTATTTGTTTTCCTTATATCAACCCATTTTCAGTTCTTTTGATGAAACAGGCTCCACACTAAAATTTTAATTTATGAATATCTTCTCAAATAAATGTAGTATAAAGCAAGAACTGAATGTTTCAGTTATTTCATTTTGACAAGATATTTGTCAAAAAATAATTCCTCTGAAAGTCTTCATGAAATATTTATAACTTTATACATTGTTAACTTCTTTATTACTTACCATTACTTGAGAAAAACTACACTGGAAAATTATTTAGATGATCTAAAACAGAGTTATTAAAATTTAGACATCTTCAATATGTCTAACCATCATGGCTATATAAAATTGTAGTTTTCAGTAAATCCGTACTCCAAAATGACATACACAGATGGTGTCTGTCGAATTGTAATTAACATTTACTGTTAAATCATCTCATAATATTCAAACCAAAATGATTCGGATGTCCAGACTAAGCTCTATAAATTACAAATGAAGCAGAGAATTGAACTAGGAAGAGATTGATGGTACTTTGGAAAGATGTAGACATGTAGACCCATCAAATAGAAACAACTACTGAAACAAATGATCTGATATTTATCACTTAATCAATTCAGGATAAATCCTGATCGGGCTTTATTATTAATCATAATACATGCATTTCTTGATGTTATTCAAAATTATGTTCAAAATTGTCTTGAAGCACATTAACTATAAAACAGTAGTTTTTTTTTATGAAACCACAGGCCTAATCTTCATTCTCTATTTATTCTGTACATTGTTTTCAAACTTATCTTTATTGCTAACTTATTAGAAACATGTATTCTTTTTCACAGTTTTTTGTCATTAATTTAATTTAATTATATTTTTTGAGACAAATTCAGTGTTTATTACAAATTACCTGCAATTACTGGGGGCAATAAGAAAAATTGAACTGTTGTTTGAATTCTGAAAATGGTGATATTGGCATCCTTGAAAAACTTTTGTCAGTTAAGATGAGAAAATAAAATATCTACAGATTAATAATTTATCTTAAGGACTGTTTTATATGTAAAGAGATTACTCACACTTGCACTTACATGCACTACACTACCTCACCGGGAGACCAGTTGAGAGCTTAGAGCTTATCCTGGCTGAAGTGGTGCCCCACTGGTGGGAGATACCCTGTTGGGGAGAAGCCTCACAAGCCAACAAGTAGGTTGGCACTGGATCTCGCCATTCATCAGGGGAAGATCACCAGGCCCTTTGAGATTCATGGGCTTTAGAGCAATGACGGTCTGCAGCCCTATATCCTTCGGCTTGGGAATATGCATGTTTGTTAAATATAATAATCTGTTTATGTCACTTGCAGAATACTGTCCTCTCTCAAAAAGCAAAAAAATGGATTTTATGTATCTAACATAGACTCACAGAAAATACAAATGTTTTCTTAAAGAAATTTGAAATTGTTCTTGATAAATTAAAAGATGCAGATGATATAATTATATTTTGCAGTGATTTCAATAGTAGCTCGTTGAAGTCTAAAGATGAAGAATTTTTCAAAACTTTATTTTAAACTTTTAACTTGCAAACAGCTATACATCAACCTATCGGCTTTAGTGACGCATTCATACTACAGCCTAGAGAACAAAAATTTTTAAAGAAATATTTTATCGGTAAACTCAAAATTTCTCCCTAAGGAACAAAAATAAATTGAAATCTCTAATGAGTTCAGAAAATGAGGATGAGGTATATTGGGCAACAATCATAAATGGCAAATGTAACTTGTTCATAAACATATTTCTAATATTCCCACACTGTTTTCCCACAGAAACTTCAGAAAATAAAAACAAAAAATACAAATAATCAATAGCTAAGTGATTCCAAATATCATGTGAAAGGATATGCAATATACCCATGAAACAATCCTTCACAATATTGTGACATGTAACTACTGTTTCATATTTCGGTTTCTGATATAATTATCTTATCTAGGAGATTGTGTCTTATCCTGTATTGTTGCATCATTGTATAAAGAATTCTTCAAGAGTAATAATTTATCTTCTTTAAAAATTATGTTTATTTTGGGAAAAAGAAGGCCTCTATCAACTGCTGATGTTTTTTCAGTCTTGATGACCTGATGAAGATGTTGACCTCATCACTGCAAAAATGAATGATGCTGTGTACATCCCGCCAAATAATGACGAAATGACAGATGAAGAAAATATAGATGATGACCTTCTAGAAAAAAAGAAGTAGAAGAAGGAAACTTGATTCACAATGAAATTACCAACTCATGGAAAATATATAATATTGTGAATGAAGAAAAGATGTCATATAGAATTTCACTTGTACTTAGCCATTACCCTTATAAATCTGAAGACTTTGCAAAAGAAAGTGAAAGGAGACTGACAAATGCCATTTTGAACAACCCACAAACAATTCCCTACCTAAAGTCGTAAGTTATGATGATGTAGGCATACCGACATAGGTGGCTCAGAGCATCAATTGATATCACTGCAGAGCCTCTGAGGACCTAGGGTTCATGTCCCAATGATGGCAGGATTTTTGACACTAGCTACATAGCTAGGTCAAGTTTAGCCACCATCAGGACCACCATAGCCACCATCTAGTGGCCGGCTGCCCTTATCAGTAGTTTTCCTTGGTTTCTCCAATAATCACCATGCAATTGCTGGAGAAGTACCCTAATAAATAAGTCATGGATCCCATTCTCACCCCTTACTTACGTGTACACATACTTACATGCACTACACTACCATTCACGCTGAGAGACCAGTTGGGAGCTTAGAGTGTGTCCCAACTGAGGCAGTGTCCCATTGGTGGGAGGACCTATCCGCAAGCCAAGTAGTCGGTGCTGGATCTCACCATTCAGTGGGAGAAAATCACTGCCACCTCCCATGATAAAAAACACACTACACTTACAGGACTACCGAACCTAGCAGTTGACGTGCGTGGAATCACCAATGAATCAATCATGATGCAGATCATATGAGAATAAAGTCAAAAACAAAGCCAAAAGGAGGAACAAGATTGTGCAAAAGCACTACAATTTACAAATGTAAAAATGCAATGATCATCTTCATTTAACTTGTTTTCAGTCGTCTCATATCCAGATGAATTAATTTACCCTATAGTCCCAAAGTTGCTTGCACACAACGTTCTGTCGTACATTGACTATTAGTTTAAAAAAATTATAAATGAGTTTTTTACCCTATCTAGTGTAATATTGGAATAAATACATAATATTATTAAAAAATATTATAATTTCAATGCTTGGTTTTTAATTGGATAGTAGGTTAAATCTTCTATTTCAAATTGTTGTCAAGTACTTATAATTAAGAATTTTGAAGGTAAATACATTTTGACTCATTTCTCCCAAATGAGAATGATAAATTATTGGAAAAAAAAGTACTCTTAACAAAGCTCTGTAAAACAAGGATGCTGGTACTCTAAATGTAGAAATTTACAATTATGTCATGATCATAAAGAAATCCATGTATATCTCATATTTTAAAAAAGTGCCTTCAAAGAAAGTGTTACAGAAACATAACAATTTTCTCAATTAATTTAAAAACCTAAATTCAGTTCACACTTACAAACAATCTGAACAATTTCCTGTTGAACCACACATTCTTGAGTACAAAAGAATACACTATATGTCATAAACATGCATTTATATCAATGTAAATTTCAAATCCTTTTAATTTCTGATTTCTTTCATATAAGGTAATATATACTACCTTGAATTTTCATTCATGGTTTATGCTCTATGATGTGACAAATAAATTAATTTTTTATAGTATTATGGTAATAATTTATTAGGATAACTACAAGTAAGATAAAACTCTTTTTTAAGAGATATTTTGAAAGGAGAAGCCAAATAAAAGTCAGAGCATTTTATTCTAAGACAAGCAGAAATAGTTATCCTGAGGTAAATTACTGCAAATAGAAGATTATTTAGTTTTTGAGGTACAATAAGCATGAAATACATTATATGTTCTTCATATGACACAGTATTTTTAAAAACCTATGTACATATTAATGACATGCCAAAGAAACAAATGCTAATAACTTAGTATTCTATTCTGAACAACAGATCTTTCACAGAACTTATAATGTAAACCCTTTGGATTATCATTGCATATCACTCTTTACACTTAAATTGTAAACATAATTTTCTTTCTAATGTGCATTCAAGTCTTTCATATCTCTTCACTTCACATTAAAATACCAGTGTGCAAAGTGAAATAAACCACCTTCTGAATTTTATACTAGATATGAATCAGGAAAACAATTTTTCATCTTACCTGGTATTTTGCTTGCTGCAGATTACAAATGTAAGTGTTCTGAATCCAAATAATTTTATTTACATACATACATACATATCTTATTAAATAGTATGTATTTTTAGAGTACCTCTATTGACTAAGACTGAAAGTATGTCAAAAAACTTTTGATGTACACTTTTCATTTTGTAATGAAGCTCACTTTGTAGGAATTTAGTACTGTTTGAAAAGCTAAGTGAAATAATATAAACAACCAGCCATATGGATGGAAAATAAAACTTTTAACATTTTTATTTTCTTCCCAATTTAACCTTGATTGTTTTCAGTTGATAACATGGTTACTTGTAGAGTATGAAAATTTTCAATTAAATTTTGTTGTTATACTATTTTCTCAACAAACAGTAAAAAGTACATAAGGCATTAAAATTCTAACTACCTAAATTAAAAATTCATTCTTCAAAATTGCCACTACTAAGCAATTTCTCAGTTAATATATACTCTTTCTGTAACAAATGCTTACTATTTTGATTGGTTTTGGCAATTAAAAAAGTTACTTTTTGTATGGTGTGGATATGCCTGGAGGACCATACTACGAGTGCCCAATGAAATTTTAAATGTAATGCAAGTGGGAGAAGTAAATTTGAAAAAAGAAAAAAAACAGTTGTTTCATAATTTTGTCAAAACATGAGAAAATTATCCAGAAATAGAAGTTACCAGCTATGGCAATTTGTACTCTGAAGTATATCATGCTGTTAAGACTGCAAGGATATCAGGATATCTAAATGATATCATTTAGAGAAATAAGTTTCCAAACATAAACACAAAAGTTGGAAAATAAAAAGAAGTTATCTGCCCTAATCTTTTTAGTCTAGCAGATACTAGAGCAGACACATTTAAAAACAAAAAAAATTAAATGGCCACACCCAGAAACATTATTGGAAAAAGTAAAGCCCTCTGAAATATGAAAACTACAACTCAAATCAGAAAGTTAATGGATGGAAGAACAAAGTGAACGAAATGCAACATTCTATTGTATTCTAGAACCCCTTCCCTAACCAACTTATTACAAGATGAATTCTGGATATGGATGGCAATGAACATTTTTAGCAAGAATTGATAAGAAAATATTAGCTCCAGTATAATAAAAATTATTTGCAAAGTCAAATCAGCAATAGACTTTGAGTACTATCCCTCATCGTGCCCTTTGTGAAGGAATCGACTTCCTGCATGTGAAAATGGAGAACGATAATTTGAATAATTATATTTCCTGCAGAAATCTAGAACTCACATACGAAGTATGTACACAGTACTTCACATAAGAAGAATACAAAAAAGTTGCTACTTCATAACGGAACAAATAAATAGCAAATATTTAATAGCAGGAGGGTTCTCCCTTGAGCCTGCAGGATAGCAGTGTTAGAAATACAAGGATTGGGACATAAGTCATGGCAAGATTTAAATTTATTTAGTCCAAAAAACAGTAGAAACTGTATGTGACATATGGGAAGAAGATTATCTGTGCACGTTTTCTTGAGTTCCAGAATTCCTTCCCGTCATTTTAACTATAAATAGTTGAAAGATGAGTAAAAGTTTAAAATAAAAAAATATGAAAAAAAATAATAAAAAGAATTCGCGAGATGAGCAATATTTGAAAAAATAGACATTTTCGTTACCGAATTATAGAAAACTTATTTTCATGGGCAAACGAATTGCAAGTGTGATTTTTCTGCATTGCTAACAAAATAGTAATTCGCCCTTACCTCTACTTCTACCATTTTAGGCAAAAGGAGAGTTCAACAAAACGTTCGCATAGTGAAGCTACATTTCCGTCCAGAAGCAAAGCAAGCGACCATCTCAGCATTTGCCCAATGGATCAGGGAAACTGGACAACAACCTGATAGAGATAGCAACTATATTATTTCTAAAAGAAATCTTCTTGGATGACATCATTTTATTTGTCTCGTGAAAGAAATATGCTAATGTGTGTTCAAAACAACAGATGGTTCTGCGAGTGTCTCTATTAGTACAGAGAGCAATCTGAAATCAAATGTCTGACTGCCGCCGTGCGAGATGACTGAACCCGTTTCGAGCAACGCTCATACTGTGCACCAGAGAGTATGTGCACCAAGAGCGCTGTTCTTCGAGGGAAAAATGCTCGAAAATGTAGCAGGCAGAGGCGAAATTTCGGATCTTCTATTTGGTTGAAGTAAATTGGGGCGAGTAGGGTTATTCTTTTTACGCGCCAACCTTGGATTCAGAAGACACTGAGAATTTTGACGGCCAACTGCAAGATGATATTGACAAAATTCCCAATAGTACTCATGTTATAGTGCGCTGACGTGCGAAAACTAAATGCAGCCTTCCAGCGAGCTGCATGGAGGGATAAGAGGGCGTTTATAGATGAAAATTGTGGAGAAATGGAAGAGCACAGACAGAGGAATAGAACTAGAGATTTATTTCAAAGCATAAGATGCATCACCAGAGAATTCGTTCCAAATTTGGAGCTGACAGAAGTGCAGACGGAAGACGCTGAAAATTGGTGGAGACTCTTAGGAATAATGCCCTTCCATATCGAATAGTCGCGAGAAGGGCAGGGGAGTTCCTGCGAGGACACCTAACAACCAGGATCGGCAACGCATGTAACGAGTGTGCGGAGCGATGTGGAACTTGTGGTGACCGAGCATTTGCCTAATGGGGCCTTTAGAACGAGTGTGTAATGATTTTGAAATGTTGTGAACTCGTATATGCTGAAATACTTTGGAACATGAAACCAGTAATGCCATTTCAAAAAACCTTGATCAGAGCAGCCGGCCGCTTTCTCCTCCAGAAAGTGGCTGAGTTCACCTAGTTATCAAGCGAATATCCGCGGGACCCGAACCCTCGAACCCTCCCCGATAGAGACACTGCAGGGGCAACTATTATTGTCCTGAGGTATCTTAGCTGACAAATGTTTTAATGATTATAACAATTAGACTTCAATTAAATACACTCTTTAGTTTTAGCATTTCCTCTTGCTCAGGCCTCAGAACTTGGCATGTAGTAAATGAGCACTTCTTGGGTGTACTGCAGAGAGATGAGTAATCTTCTGGTGTTTTATTTATATCACGATCATAAGCGGCGCCTTAACGTCCAATTCCGTTCGCCTTGCGCTTCCGCCCCCTCTCTCTCTCTTCTCCCTTTCACTCTTTTTTCTCACGCCATCAACCCACGACCTTTCTCGCCTGCTTCGTCCTTCCGTCCACGACGCGGGGTTGCTCATTAATGCAAATACGGAGTCATGAGGAACATGTTCCTCTCGAGGGAAGTTTTTAATTAATACGTTCTCCTAGTAACGATCTACTCGAGATGAGACGAAGACAGGCAAGGCGAAGGAAGGATGGACGAACTGATGACGGAGTGGAGAACGAGGAATTGGGATTGGAGGGCCCAGAGGTATGTGATTCCCATGGGGGATGTGATGCGAATGCCAGAGGAGGGATTAATCATTCTTGTATTATATTGTTTTGCAATTAAGATTGGGAAGTCGAGCGCTTCTATTAGGTTGCTGTTGTCTGTTGGTTGTTGTCTGTGGTTGTTGTCTGTTAATCACGATGTCGCTGATGCTACATATCGTCCCGTTCCGGAGACTGATAATGTTGCGTTCTCCCCTTCGTTATTGAATGTTAGGTTCACGGCTCCCCATTGCAAGACCCCTCACCTGATGTTCTCCGGACTTACATCCATCTCTTTCAGAAGTTTGCCTGGCTGCTCTATGAAATTGGGGAGGTATCGAATTGACAAAGGCAGTAGGACGCACAGACCAACAAAATTCTCGATTGAATTTCAATAAAAATTAATTACAAAATGTTAAAGATTAAAAGTGCTCTTATGCCTAATACATCCTTCATTGAGTTTCACTCAGAGCCAGCATTACCACAACTCTGACCGGGAGGTTATAGGTTGGAGTCCTGATGGCGGATTTTCGATTCTAAACTACACAGTTCGGTCAGATTTCAGCCGCTGTATGGTGGAGAATTCTAGCAGTCGGCTAATCTGATCGGGTGTTTTCCGGGGTTTCCGGGGTTTCTGCGATTAATACCAGGCGAATGCCGGAGCGGTACCCAAACAAACGGGGTACATTTAGCTGATCAATTAGCTTATTCGATAGACAACAATATTCCTTGTTTATCAATTTTTCCACTCGTAGAAGTTGTTAGGGTTGACATTAGATTATGCAGATAAAATAATATAAAATGGGGTTTGGAGGTATTGTACATGATTTGATATTAAATATGTGACTGATAAAAGACAGGTAGTTGAAATTAATGAAACATATAGTGCAGATATGATTGTAAGATGTGATGTACTCCACGGGAACATCCTTGGACCACTCTTATTCATTTTATAGTATATACATGATTTTTTAAATCTTTTACCGAAAGGTGAAATTGTGACATTCGCTGATGACACAAGTTTAATTGTAACAGGAGAAACTTGAAATGAGATCTTCACAAAGCTAAGATAAATTGAGAGTGATTGCAAATGACTATAGAAATTGTTTTAGCTTGAGTCCTAGTAAAAATCCGCACATAACTTGGCAGATTCAATGATATTGATCCTATAAATGATATTTTAAGACCACATAAAATTGACTGTTCGAAACATAAATGTAATACTGGTGATAAATTGTGTGCAACTTATCAGAAATTTCGGAGTAAGCTTATATCGAAATTGACCAAAATTTGAAACGGAAGACTCGTAGGCCTGTATTGAATTTGATCATTAAAAGAGGTTCGTTGTATAATGTGAAACATAAGTTATTGATGATTGATTGTAGGTTACTTTGATCAGTAGCAACTTATAAGAATATAGTTTGGGCTTGTGGGGGTGGGGGAATCTGACAAAACTATGAAATCACTACCAAGCATACAATACAAAATTATTAAAATGTTTTAAAAAAGATTTATTCCATCCGCCTCAATTACTATGCAAGGAAAAATACATTATTCACATAACAAGAGTTTTGTTTTTCTTGACGGCTACTTTTGACAGATACGTTACTTTAAAAAATATTTAATCTGTAAACACTAACTAAAAAGAGAGAGAGAGAGGAGAAAGAGAGGAGGGAGAGAGGAGAGAGAGGAAAGTGGAGAGAGAGAGGAGAGAGAGGAAAGTGGAGAGAGAGAGGAGAGGGAGAAAGAGGGGAGAGAGAGAGGAGAGAGAGGAAAGTGGAGAGAGAGAGGAGAGAGAGGAAAGTGGAGAGAGAGAGAGGAGAGGGAGAAAGAGGGGAGAGAGAGAGGAGAGGGAGAGAGAGGACAGAGAGAAAAAAAGAGGAGAGAGAGGAGAGAGAAAGAACGAAAAAGAGAGAGCGTGCGTGAATTAAATTATGAATAAAAACACTAATCCAAACAAAAACCCGGTAAAAGCTCTCAAGAATGAGGACTCGTGCAAAGACAACACACCGTTTCATTCACAAGTTCATACATTAAGTCTCAACAGAGTATTTCACCAGGCACGGCCGGGAACAGCCCAACAACAGAGATTCTCTGAACATGTTGATGACCAGGAGTACCTCTCTCCGTGCAAAAGAGTTCGAAACGAAGTGGCTGGTTGAGTCGTAGAGAGCGGTGACGAGCTCTGAAATCGATGTGCTAATATTAGCAATTCATTGGTCTTTTTTTGTAGCTATTTCTCATTTATTTTTACCCATGCCTCTTAAGCGTATTTTTCATCAATTATCCAATTATTCCCTAAAACATAAAATTATTATTTAAATTTTATTTGATCATCGCCATGTCTATGGGTAACCGTTCGCGCCCCTCCTCTGAACCTATCCTATGAAAATATACGTAATTTAATTTTTCAAGCGGAGTGTTTTTTTACCGAGGAAACACGCCTTGGATTAACAGACACAATGATGTGATTTACAATCACATAGAGCAGCCGTGGATCCAGGAACTGCGTCAGGGTAGGCGGACAAATGCTCATTCTGGAAAAATTTGTAAATTATTTAATGTAAGCAAAATACATTTATTTAATTATCATATTATTTTATCGTATATTAAATATGTTATTAGTTTATTATAATCCAATACTTTTAAGGAATTAAGAGATGGATATAAATGCATTCTTTATCCAAGGAGGGGAGGGCACATGCCCTCCTTGGATCAGGGGCCCATGAACTGCATGCAACAAACATATTGCCGGAATTATTATCAAACTAATCTAGTGCATGATCCCGTGGTGACCTTACCGAACTTTGGGTCAGGACGGAATACACACTTCAGATTCCACTGTTATCTTTTCATATATTTTTAGAAAGAAATCTGTGACGTAGTAAAAAACGTCGTGGATGAATGTGAATGAATATGCAATAGACGTTCTTAAAAAAATGGAACATTCAATTTGTATACTTTCTGACTTTACTGTGTACTTACGTAGTAAAGAGAAAGTATTGTAATGCTACGGCAGAAATATGCGATGTTTCGACGAAAATATGGTATTGTGGGGCGCTGGTATCGAAAAAGTTAATAAATATTGTTTCTGCGTGTAGTAAATTACTTCCTCTAACACGTTATGTAGTAAGAATTCTCGATTTTTGGACTTAAATACCAAAAATTTGGTTGGCGGCAAAACGTCTGTCTCACCCTCTTAGACTAGTGATATTTTCGAAATAAAATAATTCTATTTCGTTACCACCACCACCACCACTAGTAGCAGCAATAACAACTAAGATCATGAAATGACCTAGTGTAAAACTTGTCCAAACAGTAGTACGTGTTTCAAAGGACTGGAGTGCGATCACAGTATTATCAAAACCTAGTTCGTTTTTTATATACATTGTAATACTGGCAATTGTCTCAATGAAAAGCAGTACAAAAACTTGAGTGCTCAATGGAAATTAAAGCCAGAACCATGTGCGCGGCAGGTATACTATACGCGCATGAGTTCTTGGTATTTCATAGATCGGTGGGCGGTGTGGGGAGGGCTCTGGCTACGTCGGCTTAAAAGTGTGTACGAACTGTTGGTATGAACACACACTGAAGCGCGGGATGAGAAATAATATGATTATTTTGACTAAAACATATCATCAAAGACCCAGGAGTACTAACTGATGAATGTCGCATGTGTGGTCGAGATTATGAAACCATTCAGCATATTATATCAGGCTGTAGCTGTCTAGCTCCCACTGACTATAAAGTGAGACACGATCAAGTGGGCCACATCATCCATTCCAAACTAGCTAAAAAAACACAGGCTACTACAGAAAGTGGATGCACCATACTACCAGTATCATCCAAAAGCGGTACTAGAAAATGAGACACATAAGTTATAATGGGACTGCAGTATTCTGACAGACAGGACAATTCAGCACAACAGATCTGATAATACTCTTTGGGACAAATCTGCAAAGAAAGTCTGGTTTATTGATTTTGCAGTCGTCACTACTAGCAACATGATAAGAACATACCAGACTAAAATCGACAAATACAGAACTAGTATTTGCCGTAAAAGAACAATGGCGAGTGTCAGAAGAGAAAACTATCCCAATTGTGCTGTCAGCAACTGGTGTGATACCAAAAACTCTCTGCAGATCGTTGAAAGAACTCTGCTTGGAGAAGAGCATTGTCATCTGCCTCCAGAAGTCGGTTATAATCAATACCTGCTCACTAGTCAGGAGATTCATGGGAGGACATGTTGGGTTTTGAAAACTCATTCTTGAAATTGTATTTGTTATTAGCACTTGAAAACTGTTATTATATGTTTACATCTGAAAACAGTTATTTTATATTTGTGTTAGATTGCCTTAATTTGTTTCGTATATTTTCAATATGTCTGTGTTACCATGCTTTAATATTGTATCTGTGTGGTATCCATGTGAAACCAAAAACTTTGAGAATAAACAAAATAATAATAATAATAATAATAATAATAATAATAATAGTAATAGTAATACTAATATAAATTATTATTATTGTTTATGTGAATGTGAGTTAACGATTGTGGGTTAACGATTTCCCCTGCTCATTGTTCATCAATATGTAACTTACTCTGTCAGTTCCTATTGCCACCGCGTCCAGAATCCAATGAATTCCGGGACGAAGAACATATAGTACGGCATAACCTTATTCGAAGTGCGCCAATTCATTTAACGTGTGCGGTTTGCCAAGTTCATATATGTACGAAGTTTCGTGTAGATTGGTAATTCTCATTTCAGTGATAGAATTGAAAATGTGTCTGCGGCGGTGAGTGAATTCCTAATGCTACCGCCGTGCGTAAGCCGTTAGCAGATGACGTGCGGCGAACGGAGCCGGCTGGTTGGTTAGCATGCAAGAGCCTGTTAAGCCCACGTCACTCGTCCTATTGCTGCGAGATGTAGCGTGTTCGTTAAAACGGTGTGTTGCGGCACCAAATCGAATAACGCCGGCCCGATTTCCAATTGCGCGTACAGT